GTATAATAAAAAGTTAATAATAGTTTACCTACCTCATTTTCAGCACCTCCACTGCAGATGCCAGATCTGTCTCCATCTTCACCAGCGTTCCTGATGAAGTTGGGACTGAAGTTGGGCCTTACTTCCCAGCTTTTGCCTCATGAAATTAAGTTGGGAGGGGGTTGCTATATGATTTGTGCCAGTGCCACACCTCACATCACAGGGTGTGGGGTAATGGCAATGAAAGATGAGTTTGATTGTGTGCATGTTAGCTGAGTTCGCAAGTGAATTCCCTTCCCGCTGGCTGCCAATTTTCGTTACACATTCCTTTATTTTAAGGAAGCTGTCACATTTCTGGTTTTATACCATAGCATGAAACATTGAAAATCCCCTGAAACCTGTGTTATTCTTTTTTCGTGAGTCTCTTTGTTTTATTTTAAAATAGTATTAAAGATTTAGCAAATTACATCATCGTCCAGTTCTGACAAGACAAAACCGGAGCAAACACTGCAAATGAAGAGGTGAAAAAGGAACATGTTTTAATTTCTCATCTTCTCTGAATGCTTTCTCTATGCTGCCAGGTGCAAAGAACAGAGCTGATAATGACCGTGATAGAGATATATTTGTTAAATATAGGAGATAAGAAAACAAATTTATAAAAATCTTGGCAACATTAACCCACTAAAGGGACACTATAGTTACCAGAAGAACTAAAGCCTATTGTATTTGTTTTGGTGAGTATAATTGGTCCCTGCAGGCATATTAATGTAAACACTGCCTTTTCTGAAAAAAGCCAGTGTTTACATTGCTCCCTAGGTACACCTCCTGTGGCAGTCACTCAGAGGGCCACTAAAGGTGCTTCCTGTGTCAGTGCTGCACAGTGTGCTCTGCGTGGAGGAGCTGAACTTTCCCATAGAGATGCATTGAGATACATGGGAAAGCATTGGATTGGCTGAGATTGTGAAGTTTCATGATCTAAGACAAGCATCAGTAGGGCTGGCCAAGACTGGACCCGTGCGGTGCTGGAAAAAGGTGAGTAAATCACCTTTTCAACAGCAGGTGAGGGGGACTGGAGGCCTAAACAGTCCTAATACACTTTTATATTCCTGACACTATATACTGAGTAAAAAGAACATACAACGTGTCTGCGTTTGTGCATCTCTAAACACACATGTGCACCCTAGTCCCCTGTCCCAATCTTTCATATCCATGGTAGCTCTCCATCATCTGCTCTGTTGATTTAAAGGAACACTCCAACTACTAAAAGTGGTTATGGTGCCAGACATGCCCTGGTGCCCTTCCACAGTAAGAAGTCAAACCTTCTAAGGGCACCTCTAGCACCATAACCACTACAGAATGCTTTGGTGATTATGATGCTGGGAGTGTCACGCCAAGGGTGTATAATTCATTGTTGCACTATAGAATATCACTATTAAATTTTATTTGTGTAGTGCACTTGGTTGAGTTGGTATGGCCATTTTCTGCATGAGAATGGCTAATTTGTTTATATAGGAATGTGATAGATGTCAGAAGGTTTACAACATAGATGTCAGAAAGTTTTTACAACTTCAACACTATACTGAAGCCGTGACTCCAACCAGAGCTCCTCTGCTAGGTGTGAAATGTTACACATCAGTTGCTTCTAAGTCTAATTTTAATGTAAACTAACTGCCTAATCTACCATATGCCTTTATACCTTCATAGATAGTTGATTCTTCTGATATGCTAAGTGACCATTAGCAGCCAGGAGACCATTGTCTTCTAGTGTCATATCCAAATGACACGTTGATAATAACACACAGATTAATAATCATGTCTCCTTTTGTGCATATTCAGAACTGGAAAAGCACACCGTACAAAAAGAGTATAGATATGGCAAGCACAGCTTAAGCCATTTGGAAGGAATTGTGAAATCCGTTGTATTAGGTCCTAAGTAGGCAGTGTGACATATGTACGGAATTAAAAATTGCAACAAATTCATAAATGCAATAACTATTTATGTGGCAAGTACAAAAGACTAAACAAAATCAAAAGTTTATTTTTGGGTTTGTCTGAAACACAAGAAGTACTTATTGTTCCTATAGGTACGACTTCCCTCCATCTATGCCTCATCTCTACTTGTTTTTGAAACTTGTGATGATTACAGGAGTTATAAATCCAATGATCTACGCACATAAGCAGAGGCCCGGAGGACAAGGACTCAGTGAGTCTCTGGGTCCGTGGCTATGACGTGTGGGCTCTTGGACAGGCCTGGGGCAAGAGAGATATCTTACTTTGTCACCTCATCGCTGCTCTCCTAAGCAGACTTTGCAAGTACATACAAATAATGCCAAGTCAGGGAGTTGGTCCACTGTCATTTCTTACTCATAAGACGCCGTATATTCTAGGCGCTGAGCCCCTGCTTTTATTGCAGCTGCCAATTTATTTCAAATATTTCAAATGTATCTCCTATAAGAGCATCTAGTCCCAAGGATAAAAAAGTGTCATCTACTTACTGAATTGATTTTTAGTTCAAAATGTTCAGCACACTGTGTGACCCTATGGCTACCGAAACTTTGTTTACAGTTACGAGAGACCACAGCTCTTATTGAGGCAATTCTATCTTTGCTCTCTTTAATACTCTCTGATTTCTATGAGTCTTGTTGATATTTTATTATTGAAGATCCTGTTATGTGTATATATTTGTGCACTCTATGCTTGTGTCCTGCCATTTGTGTTTATGAATCTGCATTACAAAAATAAAAAATAAATGCTAAAGAAAAAGACAAATGATGTCCAAATGTCTAGTGTGCTTACTAGGAGCTAAGATCTAATTTTGAGTTAGTCACCATATTTCCTTGCCAGAGCAACCCCGGACAAAAAAACATTGTTACTTTACCATCTAAGTGAGTAGGTATGTTTTCGGTTAAAATCTCGTTTTTATTTTTATCTGTTGTTGGTGTAAATAATGTGTATGTCACCTGTCTTTGTATGCACTGTGACTTTTTTTTTGCTAATAATAAATATTCCCTTCTGTCTCTCTCTTACTCATGTTACCTGATTAGACCAATCTATTAGTACCGTATTTTTCGCTCCATAAGACGCACTTTTTTTCCCCTCAAAAGTGAGGGGAAATGTCTGTGCGTCTTATGGAGCGAATGTAAAGCTTTACTTACCTGTCTTGTTGCGTGGGCCGGCTTCACAGCGCGCTCCGCGGTCCAGGAACTTCTATTTCAGGTTCCGGTTTCCGGCGGGACTGAAAGGAAGTGCACACTCAGTGTGCACACTTCCTTTCAGTCCCGCCGGAAACCGGAACCTGAAATAGAAGTTCCTGGACCGCGGAGCGCGCTGTGAAGCCGGCCCACGCTCCAAGACAGGTAAGTAATTATGGGACAAGGGGAGGGGGAGACACTATGGGACACTATGGGAGAAAGGGAGGGGAGACACTATGGGACAAGGGGAGGGGGAGACACTATGGGACAAGGGGAGGGGGGGACACTATGGGATGGGACACTATGGGACAAGGGAGGGGACACTATGGGAGGGAAAGTGCACTATGGGACAATGGGAGGGGGGGACACTATGGGATCAGAACACTAATGGACAAGGGGAGGAGGGGTTAAAGAACACTATGGGACAGGGTAGGAGGGGTTACAGAACACTATGGGACAGGGGAGGAGGGGTTAACAATCACTATGGGACAGAGGAAAGGGGGGTTAAAGATCATTATGGGACAGGGGAGAAAAAAAAATATTCTGAACAAACTGTCCCATAGTAAGAAACATTATGGAACAGTTTGTTCAGAATATTTTTTTTTTCTGGGTTTCCTCCTCTAAAAACTAGGTGCGTCTTATGGTGAGGTGCGTCTTATGGAGCGAAAAATACGGTAATTTGAAAATACATGAATATTGTGCTAAATCATATTTTGTGGGTTTTAATCTAATTTGATTAAAAGACCAAGGCACCCCGTTTACAAATTGTCTTGGTGGTGGCAGAGTTATGCGAGCAATTATTCTATTATAATTAAGTGTGGGTGGTGTTAAAGGGACACAATAGGCACCTAGACCACTTCAGCTAGAAGAAGTGGCCTGGGTGCAATGTCACTTTTGCACTTATTGCTGCAACGTTAAACATTGTAGTTCCAGAGAAACTGCAATGTTTATATTGCAGCACTAAGTCTGCCTCTAGTGACTGTCTACCATAGAAGTCACTTTTAAAGGTACATGAAGAAAAGTGAAAACAGATTTAGGGTGAACAAGCAACCTAAAGCCTTTTCGAGTGGAGCACTATATAAAAAAATATATAATTGTCACTTACCCCTGTAATGGGGATGTGGTGGTCACTATAGCTTATATGGAAGGGAAAAGAAAAAAACAAACAGGAAAAAGAATATGGTGGGTAAAGTTGAGCACCTATACGTTAGAAATACAGTAATGGTCTCACTCAAATGGGATTGAGCCGATAAGATAGGCTCAAATCACATCATTAGGTGTGTACTCTGGTGACATATTCCCCTTTGTCCATTCAGTAGTGGTAACTTTAGGAAACATAAAAGAGAAACAGGCAACAGCCCCTAGTGCACTATGTTCTTTACACTGTATAAAATGGTGTCAGTAATGTGGCTGACCTTATTCAGTGCCCAAGGTACCTGGCTCTGGTTAAAAGCGTTTATGTGCCTTTAAGGGGGCACTGCCCTTCTTGAAAGCAGACAAGAGGGGATGGGTATAGGACTATAAAAATATTTATTTAACAAAAAATATTAAAACCGTATAGTAAAATGAATAAATAAAATACTTCGCTTCCGTCCGAGACGCGTTTCACCCTTCCAATGGGCTTTCTCAATCGGATACTGCTTCCTGGTGTTGTTACATCTTAAATGTGCTGCTATTATTCCATTGGTTGCTGCGTGGTAGTTTTTAGCCAACCCTGTGTGGTAAATCCAGAGTAAGTCTTTAAGCCTCTTGATGCGGATTTGCTCATTACATGTAGCGGAAGTGATGTAGCTAACCTAATCGTATCACTTCCTATTCCTGAGTCTCCATCTTCTTTTCTGGCATGTCCGGTGTGGTGTGCCAGAATCAACGTTTGGGTAGGCATGTAAAAGAGGGCCCACCAAGATGCATGGCTTAATAAAGGGAGTGGTGGGTGGACTGAACCAGGCGGTCTTGACCCAGAGGAAGAGGAGGTCTGTATATTTAAAGGCCGGGTAACTCATCCCACAATTCCAGGCTTTGCCTACCAGTTCAGCCTTCTCATATATATTTATTGTGTCTCTGAATGAAACATAAATATGAAAAAAGAAAGGCTGTAATTGTATACTTAGCTGGAGTTTGTGTCTGGTTCATCCACTGGAATGGCGACAACTTACATTTCCAACATTATAGATCTGATGGGACAGTGATAAAGTGGAACTTATGTTCTGCCAGGGGGATTACCTATCTAGTGTCTGGTATCTCAGATACTCCAAAGAAGATCCCCAAAATATGGTAAACATGAATACCAAAGTAATGTCCAAGTACTGCATCAGTCTATACATGCACAGGTGGCTGGTTGGTAGTGTTTGTGCAAACTTTATCAATATGCTTTTATGACATCGTCCCCATTTGTCAGTGGTGTCCTTGTCCATCTCTACTGATACATAAATAGATCAGGAAATGCCTCATTGACACTGCGGAAATGTAATTGCCATGCCCTATATTGTAATCCAGTCACTCCACAAACCAGATATAGTAAATGTTGTGACACGTCATTCTAATGTTGCAGTGTAAGTATACATGGATTGGTGTACTTCTACACACAGACATAGATGCAATATATAATGTCTATGAAATTGTGGTAACGTTGTCAGAGTATTTATATCGGCAGACATTTTGTGCTATGATAGAAACTAAAAGTGTATATTCTGAGTCACTCTGAACAGACCAGACTCCATTTTGTTATTCCAAGTTAACAAAGAGACACAGGATTTCTTTCTGTAAGACTGGCCTCTTTGCCAGAGCTAAGGAATGCATAGCATAGTATAAACAAGTGATAAGAAGAATATAATCAAATCTAAACCCAGACAATTGTGACAGAGAAGATTAAATAATAAAATTTAACTGTCTATATACATATAAGGTACCATTGTATGGAAAAGGGTAAACTTAGTTCATGATCTGTCATATCAGAAATTATAGCAGATTTGCAGACACATAGTCTGGACAAAACTTAAAGAAACCCTTTGATCTTTGAAGGATACGTAAGTTATAGCCACTATCTAGATAGGCCAAAATGACGTCAAAATAGCCACCAGGAAAAGTTAACTCTTTCCTGGATAGGTATGTTTAGTGGGACAAGACTGCCCTCTACAGACCAAATAACTAATTTGCGATCTGGAAGATAACCACACCTCTAGTGCTTCTATTGGGTTATCAACTGATGACGTACAGGGAGTCTGGCCCTTTAAAAGTTAAGACAAAGGGAAGACAGGGGAGGCAGATGCAGGACATATGCAAGGGAGAGGAGAGAGGAATTGGAAGTTTGGGGACTCCAACTCGGACAACATCTGAGACTAACACTCTACTCCTAAAACTCTAACACTTAGAATTTACTGACTTTCACCAACACCTCCATGCAGAGAGACATCCAAATAAGTTCCTGAGACTATCTACCAATCGGATGAAATATCTACTCAACTGGTAATTATACTGGTTTCATTTAATTAAATTAAATTAATTAAAATGTATTAATAGCATTATATATGACTGGATAAAGCACGGTCAGATTTCCATATTAAGAAATCTTAGTTAACTAAAGAATATATAGTTATAAACATTCCATTCTGCAGGTGGAATTAAGAATAATTATATATTGATGTGATATTATCACGTGTTAGCATACCGCTGTTTTTATCCAGGTGTATTGATTTGCTCTAAATTAAGATAGATATCTTTTAGACAAATTAAAAATCTGCTTATATAATATGGTAGATTCTCTTATTGGATGGTTTCAGAAAATGACTAATGAACTGGGTTAAATGTTATTTTATTTAAAAATTACATAAGAATAGATCTTAATTACCTAGGAGATCTAGCCAGCATTGAAAGGGTTATTCTAACTGTCTGCTTAACTTTACGACCTTACGCTGCACTCTGAGGAATTCTGTTCTTCGCTGTGAAAAGTTTCACTTAAGTCTGTGTTAAGGATACCTCATAAATCGTCAGAATTCTTGACAGAAAATGCTAGTTAGCCATTGAAACGTAATACCCATTCCTTTGTATGCATATCATTTTATACTGAATATTCATTGATTATTGTCATGCATGTTACATGTTATTATTAATTAATTTGTCATCATAAATAAAAATCTATTTTTATACATTGTGATATTAATTATATGAAATACATTCCACTTAACACGATAAACGTTCTTTGGGATCTGAGAATTGAATTAGTGGGCAATTCTCACTGTTACTATTATTATCCCATAAATATCCCCACAACGTGCTCCAAAGTTCAACATGAAGTAAAACTATAGCGTTAGGAATGCAAACTTGTATTCCTAATGCTATAGTGTCCCTGTCTCTAGTTAAATACAGGTTCCCCAACTCCCATGTGGCATAAAAAATGAATTTAAAAAGAGTTTTTCACTTACCTTTTTCCAGTACCGAGACTCCCTCAACTCTGCTTACTAGACATGTGCAATTCGATTCGGTCCGAATTGAAATTTGGATGAATTTCGTACATTCAGACATTCGGATGCTTTCGAATGGCCGAAGTGCCGAATTTCCAACGTGCAGAATTTCCGAAGACCGAACAGAATTGTCAAACTGCTGAATTTTGGAAGTACCGAACCAAACCGAATTCCCGAATTTCGGAAGTGCCGAAGTGCTGGGATAGGGTTAGGAGTAGTGTTAGGGATAGGGTTAGGAGTAGGGTAAGGGTTGGGTTAGGATTAGGGTAGTGTTATGAGTAAGGTTAAGGGTAGGGTTGGGATTGGAGTAGGGGTAGGGTTAGAAATATTGTTAGGGGTAGGAGTAGGGTAAGGGTTGGGTTAGAATTAGGGTTAGGAGTAGGGTTAAGTGTAGGGTTAGAAGTAGGGTTAGGAGTAGGGTTAGGGTACCTCTACACCTAAGCCTACTCCTAACCCTACCTCTAACCCTACCCCCTACTCCTAACCCTATCCTAACTCTATCCTAACCCAACCCTAAACCTACACATACCCTACCCCTAACTCTACACTTACCCGAAGTGCTGAAGTCCTGAAGTGCCAAATTCTCGAAGTCCCGAATTTCGGAAGTGCCGAAGTCCCGAATTGCCGAACCGAACCGAATTGCCAAAGTCCCGAATTTTGGAATGCCGAACCGAACCAATTTTTTTGCCCATGCACATCCCTACTGCTTACTTCTCTGTCTCCCGGGATATCATCAAGGCTGCGATTCTCCAATACAATACTGCTCATAGAGTGCAGTGTACATTCAAGCTTCCCTCTAGGAATACATTGTATTCCATTCTTTCCGGTGGGCTTCCCCATCATGTGAGTTTTACTCGGTCAGTGCAGCAGTGCCTCTAGTGGCTGTCATTTAACCATGCAATGCAAACATCACAAAGTAGTCTAGGTGACTCGAGTGTCCTTATAATTATTAAGATTTGTTTTTTAACCCCTTCAGGACCGAGGACGGTTCTGAACCATCCTAACGGTCCAATGTACTTACCCGATTGCCATCGTTCCCCCGGCGGCGATCGGTGTTGCTCCTGTTGTGGGGAGACTGCCTGCAGCCCAGACAGTCTCCCCATGGCGGATTAGGACCCCTGGGGCCATGTGATCGCTCAAGAGAGTGATCACATGGTCACAATAGGTGTCCAAGTGTCTGCCTGCAGGGGGACATAATTGTTGTGATACGTTTTCCTGTTTTGAAACACTAATATTTGTGTTCAGCAAAGTCTCCGGAGTATAACAGTACCCCCCATGTACAGGTTTTATAGCGTTTTTGAAAGTTACAGGGTCAAATATATGGGTCAAATATTTTTACATTGAAAAAGGCCAGGTTGGTTACGTTGCCGTTGAGAGCGTATGGTAGCCCAGGAATGAGAATTACCCACATGATGGCATACCATTTGCAAAAGAAGACAACCCAAAGTATTGCAAATGGGGTATGTCCAGTCTTTTTTAGTAGCCACTTAGTCTCAAAGACTGGCCAAAATTAGCATTCAATTTAGTTTTTTTACTTTATTCACACACAAACAAATATGAATGCTAACTTTGGCCAGTGTTTTCGACTAAGTGGCTACCAAAAAAGACTGGACATACCCCATATTGAAGACCCTGGGTTGTCTACTTTAAAAAAAAATATGTACATGTGGGGTGTTATTCAGAGATTTATGACAGATAATAGTGTTACAATGTCACTATTGATAAATTTAAAAAATGTAGGTTTTGAAACCACAATAGCCTACTTGTACCTATAACTTGCAAAAAAAAGCAAAACACTGGGTATTTTTAAACTCAGGACAAAATTTTGAATCTATTTAGCAATTTTTTAAATTCGTTTTTGTAGATGAGTAAAAGATTTTTCAAGTAAAAGTAAAAAAACATGTATTTTTTTTCAATTTTTCATCATTTTTTAAAAAATTTTAAAATTAAATTACATGAAATTATATAAATAATGGTATGTAAAGAAAGCCCCTTTTGTCCTGAAAAAAACAATATATAATTTGTATGGGAACAGTAAATGAGAGAGCGGAAAATTACAGCTAAACACAAACATCACAAAAGTGTAAAAAGAGGCCTGGTCACAAATGTACAACATCGCAAAAACAGTCCAGTCCTTAAAGGACCACTATAGGCACCCAGACCACTTCAGCTTAATGAAGTGGTCTGGGTGCCAGGTCCAGATAGGATTAACCCTTTTCAGAGAAACTGCTATGTTTACACTGAGGGTTAATCCAGCCTCTAAAGCAGTGATGGCGAACCTTTTTGAGCCCGAGTGCCCAAACCGCAATACATGCCAACATTTTTTCTCCTTAAAGTGCCAACACGGCAATTAAACCCAAATACTGAGGTTTAAGTTTAGATAAAAACAACTCGTACTGTTGTCCGAACTAATAACTTTTGTTTTAAAAGAACACAGAGTTCAATGATACAAATTTTAAATAATGACATAAATAGATAAAATTAAGCTTATATTTATTAGTATCTCCAACAAATGCAATACATACACAGACAGACTGCTGAATACATACACACAGTCTGCTGAATACACACACACAAGACTGCTGAATACAGAGACTGATGAATACACATACAGACAGACTGCTGAGTACACACACAGACTGCTGAGTACACACACACACACACAGACTGCTGAGTACACACACACAGACTGCTGAGTACACACACACACAGACTGCTGAGTACACGCAAACACAGACAGCTGAGTACACGCAAACACAGACAGCTGAATACACGCAAACACGGACAGCTGAATACACGCAAACACAGACAGCTGAATACACGCAAACACAGACAGACTGCTGAATACACGCACACACACACAGACTGCTGAATACACACATACTGCATTGAGGTGGGGGGTGCGTGTGTGTGTGAGTGTTGTATGTGAGGGGTGCTGTGTGTGTGTGTGGGGGTGCTGTGTGTGTGTGCTATATGTGTAAGGGGTACTGCTGGGGGGTAGGGGTACTGCTGGGCAGGGGTTACTGCTGGGCAGGGGTGGGGTTACTGCTGGGGGGGTAGGGGTTACTGCTGGGGGGGTTACTGCTTGGGGGGGTAGGGGTTACTGCTGGGGGGGATAAGGGTGCTGTGTGTCAGTATAACCCCCCCCCTCCTTCTTACCTTTAATGAAGTGGGGGGGGAGGGGGACACACAGCCATCCCTGGTGGTCCGGTGGTGGTAAGCACTGCAGGGGGAGGGCTCCAGGAAGCAGCTCCCCTGTCCTCTCGCGCAATGCTGTGTGGAGCGTTGCCATGGTAACGCGCGGCAACGCTCCACACAGCATCGCGCGGGAGGACAGGGGAGCTGCTTCCTAGAGCCCTCCCCCTGCCTCCCGACCCGGAAGCAGAGTACTCTGCATTGATGGCGGACCTGTGGCCGCGTGCCCACAGAAAGGGCCCCGCGTGCCACCTGTGGCACGCGTGCCATAGGTTCGCCATCACTGCTCTAAAGCCTCTAGTGGCTGTCTCTTTGACAGCCACTAAAGGCGCTTGCGTGCTTCTCACTGTGAAAATCACAGTGAGAAGACGCCAGCGTCCATAGGAAAGCATTATGAATGCTTTCCTATGAGACTGGCTGAATGCGCGCTCAGCTCCTGCTGCGCATGCGCATTCAGCCGATGACGTCGCTAGGAAGGAGAGGAAGAGGAAAGCTCCCCGCCCGGCGCTGGATTAATGTAAGTGTTTAACCCCTTCCTCTCCCCAGAGCCCAGCGGGAGGGGGACCCTGAGGGTGGGGGCACCCTCAGGGCACTATAGTGCCAGGAAAACAAGTATGTTTTCCTGGCACTATAGTGGTCCTTTAAGGGGTTAAATCCTGGGTATTTTAAACAGAACTAAACCTATATCTATTACTAATTAGAAAATGCACAAGTGTGTAATTGTAAAGTTACATCTATACGTATTACTAATTTGAAAATAATCAGGTATTTGATCATTTGTAGCATGCTGTGGATACTTATAATTTAGAAGTTTTGAACCATTATTCGAGGATAGTGGATGCATGGAATAGCCTTCCAGCTGATGTGATAGAGGTTAACACAGTGAAGGAGTTTAAGCATGCGTGGGATAGGCATAAGGCTATCTTAGATATAAGGTAAGGCCAAGGACTAATGGAAGTATTTAGAAAATTGGGCAGACTAGATGGGCCAAATGGTTCTTATCTGCCGTCACATTCTATGTTTCTATTATTATTATTATTATTATTTATAAAACACGTATAGCAGTGTTGTACCACAAGTGGCGCAGCAAGCAAAAAGTTGCACAAAGACACCAAGTTGGAATAGAAGACGTTAAAGGCCCTGCACAATCGAGCCTAACAACATCAATTATAAGGCAGATGGAAAGAGTGTAAACTTTGTTTAATTTCACTGTAGGGGAAGTAAGAGAAGGTCAGAGCTTCTACCTCTCTGAATGAAATACACCAGATGTGCTCTGTTTTTTTATAGGGGGGCTCAAACCCTTTTTAGAAACATTTAATACTTATCAGTTTGCAAAATGTACTTTATTATGGAAATTTGCCAAAGACTTCTTTGATCCATTTACTATGACTGAATTTAAAACTACCTTTCCGATTTCTTTAGACTTTTAGCATTGGTGTGATGTGATTATGTTATATACACAAAAGACACAATGAATCATTGAGACATACATATGGCAGAGAGGAAAGTAGTCAATAACACAAAAAGTATGATTAAAACATCATGAAAATGGCAGAAAAAAATGGAATTGAGACAAAAAATGAGAATTTCCCATTAGCACACAAGATAACATTTTAAGGAAGTTTTGAGAAAAAGCAGGGGAAAATTACACAGTGGGCACTGAAATGTAATTTGACAGCACCCTCTGTTGTCCAACTCATGCATTGCATATATTGAAAATACCCCAAACACGTAATTGTAATGCATTGAAACTGGTTATTCAATATTTAAACAAAAAGAGAAAGTTATCCAACTCCGTTATATCCACAGCTTGTTTGTTTCATTTACTTTTGCAATACAGATTAAAATTCACTACACTTTCTGATTTAAGTGAATAAATGCATATTGCTATTCACTAAACCTCGAATGATCAACAACAGAATTGCACATATATTGGGACCTACTGTCCTAACCAAAGGACCAGAATACAGGGACATTATGGCTCTATGAATCCAACCCTGATAACCAAATTTCATCAGGGATTTACACATGAATTCCCAGTCAACCCTATTGAAAGCCTTCTCTGCATCGACAGTTAAGATTGTCATAGGTGTTTCTGTTCTATTAGCTAAATCTAAAATATATATTATACATCTTGTATTGTCTGAAGAAATTCTTCCCGGAACAAACCAGATTTGATCAGGATCGATTATGTTGGCAAAAGTCGGTTTTACCCAATTTGCTATTATTGCGGAAAAGATCTTCACATCGGTATTTATAAGGGAAATTGGCCTATAGTTTTCCACCGCTCCCGGGTCTTTATTCTGTTTCGGAATTGGTAATATGTTTGCTCTCAACATTTCCTTTGGAAATTGCCCCCTATCTACAATGTTATTAAATAGATCTACCAGAAGCTTTATAAGTAAATCTCGAAAGGTTTTATAAAATAAATTTGAAAATCCGTCTGGACCTGGGGTTTTGTTATTGTCTAGCTTTTTAATGACCTCCTCCACCTCTTGTGCCGTTATCAAGGCATTAAGAGCTGTTTTTTGGTTCTCTGATATTACTGGAGCGTTAATACCATCTAGATATTTATCTATCTCCTTATCCTGAGTTGATAGGGAATATAATTCACTATAATATGAGTTGAAGCACTGACCAATGGATTTTGGGGAGATATGTACCTCTTCGTTCCTCTTTATTCTAGTTATTTTGTTGGAGGCAGTTTTTTCTCTCAGCTTCTTAGTTAGCAGTTTATCTGCTCTATTCCCTGTACTATATTCTTTCAGCTTCAGTTTCTCCATTATATAGACAGGGATGCCTGCTTTCTCCGATTCTATACATTATAACTATGGAGATTTTGGCGATAAATATAAGATCAAATTATCAAATAAGAGGAATCACTACGAAACAGAGAGAGCTGAAACTAAAACTATATGCAGATGATCTGATACTGAGCCTAACTAAGCCAGTTACATCTATTACTGCTTTCATGAAAACTGTCAAGAGGTTTAGTGAAGTTTCGAATTATAAATTAAATGAAAATAAATCTATAATTCTAGATATCAACTTAGATACAACAAGTAGAAACCACATGGGACAACTATAACTTTAACTGGGCCAATACAAGTACACCATATTTAGGTATTTTGTTGTCAAAGAAAGCTTCAGATCTAGTGCAGGTAAATTTTTTAAGCTGCTTTAGAAATATGTCGAAAGCACTGAACAAATGGAAAAAAATAGAAATTACGTGGTGGGAAGAATGAATCTTATTAAAGCTTATCTCTTGTCCAAATGGGCATATATGTTTCGAATGATCCTTTTAAAAATCCCTAGACCATGGTTGGATAGGATTCAAAATTCAATTAATAATTTAATCTGGAAGAACAAGAGACCTAGAATTAACAAAACTCTCTTGGCTCAAAAAATTAAAGATGGAGGCCTGGGTTTCCCAAGTATCATAGATATTTATCTTGCAAATTAGTTTTTTCATATTTATAGAACCCAATTGGATAGTGTAACAAGGGAAGGGTGGTATATCCTAGAAAGCGAGAGTTGCCAAGTAAAGGATCTTAGCTCTATCCTTTGGCATAGGTACACAGACATGAAGATTCAGCTTATTAGACAATCTAATTTATGTATAGATTCAATACTAGAAATCTGGATTAATTATAGCATGCAATTGGAAGAGCTCTTCTTTATTTTCCTTGGACAGACTGATATTCCAAGTTAAGTTTCAACTTGGAATGGAAGCTCAGTTGGACAGGGCTCAAGGAAGAGATCCAAGGAAAGTACACAATGCTCTCTGGTTGGAGAAATTGAAAGGAGAGGGTTAGGCAGAACCTGAGTGAACAGGTATGCAGGAGTTAATCATTTTTTGAGGGATTCTCCTGTATATAGTTTAAAAATGGCCACGGAACAACTGAGTATAAAGAATGGGCTTTCCCAGTAATCCCGCCGGCATGGGAATTGGTATGTGGTTCGCTTGGTACTATGTCGTATTTGTAAGAGGAGACTTTAGTGTACTGAATGTAATTTTATAGGATCTAAAATTGAATTACTCCTTTAGAACGACTAAGAAATATTAGGGTCAATCTCAGCGAACAACATCTGTATTGTACTGTATTTATGTATTTTTGTACAATATTTTATTATGAAGATATTCTGAATGTATATGTTTATCTGTCTTGTTGTTATTATATGATAAAAGAATAAAAATCGTAAGAAAAAAAAAAAAGAACAGAATTGCACATATTATCCCCGAAGCTGCCCAACTGAATACATTCTACAACCAAGCTAATTTTACAGCTTCGCTATCTAGTCTTAAAATGTGCAATCTCCTATTAACTGATCCATTCTCTGCTCCTGCCTATTGACAGGTGATCAGCATTATCACAAGGGTGGGCTAAGTCAATGGATTGCACATATTAATATATTTCAGTCTCATTCACTAAAGTAAATATTCAAAGTGAATTTCAAATCAGCTATGCTTTCAATTTAGTCACTCTGGGCCTAAATTTAAAATTCACTTTAGATTCTCTCTTTGGAAAAAAACATTGTTTGTGAAGATTGTAGTGTTACGTGAGCCAATACACTATTTCCGTTATGGGAAACTATAAGGGGAAAACTGGTGCTGTCGCTTTTTCTCCTCCACCACCCCAGGCTGTCTTGGGATCACATTGCTATTTTAAACAGAGGTCTAATGCATAACCAAAGTCTTTCTCCTTAGGGGGAGTCTAGACATCTACATTGCCTTCACAGAGAAAGAACAATACTTTGTCTCTCAATGGCTTCACAGCTTTCATAGAGTCTCCCTAAAACAGCAGTACAAATACACAGGGCATCTATAACCTAAAATTTGAAATCCCACTGAAGAAGCCATCCAACTGTAAAGCAATTCACCACTGGCCCCAGAAAATAGAAAGTTGCCTCCATGAACCAATGAGTAACCTTGAACTACAAATCTTGTCCCATTTCTTATGGACCCTTGAGACGGCAAGTAAACTGCCAGGCTGGGCTGTCATGCTGAAATATATGCTCTAGATAAAGTTCAAGTTGATAAAGCTCTCAATTGCCCTACTATCAACAACCTCTTATACAGGCAAATATTCCTCTTTGACAATATTATATGGTTTTTCAAGGAAAAGTCAAAACCTGAAGAAAGTCATGAACAGAAGAAAAGTATCCATACATAGCAACAAACGTTTTGGGCTTTTTCATTGTATGAGTGAGCTTCTTTAAGTACCAGGTCCATTCCTCCTTTATCCAAACGTTTATGTGTGGTGGGGTCTGCCATGAGCTACTACTGCTCTGTAGCAATGAAGGCACACAATCGTGCGCTATACAATGTCTTACATAATGAATCTGAGTCAGACTTTTTGTACTCCCAAACATAGTAATATCATATTTTAAAAGTAAAAGATAAAAATTACTTACCTACTACACCCAGTGTGTGATCTACGAGAGGATGGCGAAGGAACAATTCTGAACAAACCCACCCCCAGTTCACTCACTCTTTCACAGCCACACAAAGCTGGATGGAAAGTTTACTTCTGCATTAGTCAGTTTGCAGGAGAGGGCCCACATTCCTGAAAGAACCATCATTTTTGTAAAAAAAAAACAAAAAAACCCAGTCTGACAAACTGCGGGGGATGGTAACCACAGACTATGTATACCATAATCATTACAATGAGCTGTATTGCTATGGTGTTTAGACTGGCCCTGTGACCAATAATAAAAACAGAATGTCAGGAACAATATTATATTTTATTTCAAAATGACAACTTTTTTTTCTAAAGCTTTTAATAAAGATTTACAGTTATGATTTGTTTTTGGTTTTTAAAAAATAGACTGTGAAATTACATTTTTATTTTACAAAGTAGATAACATTATTAATACATACATGTTTGAGATCGACTAATTATATTTCATTTTCTTTTCCATGATACATTTTCTTTATTTCAGTAGTTTTTTTCTATTTACATTGTTAATTTATTTTATTGCACTAAAATGTTACATGTAGTATGTACTTTTATACATTCTTTTGTTCGGTATATTAATCTATATGTAGATTATTATGTGTAATATGTTTTTACACCTACCTTTTCCACAAAGTTCTTTGGGAAAATCAAATATATTAATGTATGTATGCGTGTGTAAACTTTATTTAGCAACATAATAAAGAAATGTATATCTATATCTACATATAGATAAAGAAAGGATACCGACACTCTATGCCTATATATATTATTTTGCACAATTATAGATAGAACTGACCAATTCTGATACATTAGTCCAGCCTTTACAATTGTTATTTTCTTAAATAGAAAGAAAAAGGTTATGGTGTTGAATGATCCAACACCAGTACCTCGAAGGAGGTTACAGGAGGTATTGGGGGCTTAACCCTGGAGAGCTGCAAAATGAGGACAAAAGGGAAGAATGAGATAGGGAGTCCACCCACAAATAAGTGGTGGACACCAGACTCATTCAAAAATACTTCCTCTTGTGGAGAGTAACATAAATAGGTTAATAACCTTTATTAAAAAATTGCTAGAATACGAAGTGCACCAGAGTGAACACCAAAAAAACTTTAAAAAAAACCTGGGTCAATTACTCCTAAAGGTCACGTAACTACATATAGGGTCAGAGTGGGTGAGTTATATATAGACCTCGAACGGGTCAGAGTAAAGTCACCAAAGTCCCTAATAAGTATGTAACAGCACGGTTCAGTCTGATTATACAGTAAAAAAAGATAACTAGCGCAAATAAGAGCAGAGATTCAATGTGGGATAGTAGGTGTCTAGCAGTGGTTATAGTACCGACAAACCAGAAATGGGGCAGAGTTGTAGACACTAGTATAGGAGCCCGGGCAGGTCCTGAAAGAGCTAAACAGGGGTGTTGAAGATACCCGCATCTCCCTATAGGGTAGAGGATGAAAATATTAATGCTAAATGCAAAAAGTATACATCTCCATCAAAGTGCAAGAGAGTCAGGCAGCCCCTATCTTGCTCTAGATATCCAAGATTAGAGTTGGTAAAGAGGTAATGTAGCTAACTTTGCCTTAGTAGGTAATCTCCCGGTACTAAGAGGGAGATGAAAAAAGTAGCACCCTAGGACGCCCTAGACTCACTGTCTAGCCCAAAAATGGATGGTAAAACTCACTGCTGCTTCAAGGCAGCCTAGCCATATCCCTGAAAAATTAAGGAGATGCTCTAGCGCATAACAGACACCGTTGGAGCCCAGGTAAGTAAATAAAGTAAAAGTGTAACTTAAATTAAGGTAGAAGCATTGGCAAATATCAGCTCGACCCGCGTTTCGTCGTTTCACTACACCTTTGTCAAGAGCTGTATCTTCAACACCCCTGTTTAGCCCTTTCAGGACCTGCCCGGGCGCCTATACTAGTGACTACAACTTTACTCTGACCCGTTCGAGGTCTATATATAACTCACCCACTCTGACCCTATATGTAGTTACGTGACTTTTAGGAGTAATTGACCCAGGTTTTTTTTTAAGTTTTTTTGCTGTTCACTCTATCACCGTTTATACACTTTTTTGGTGCACTTAGTATTCTAGCAATTTTTTAATAAAGGTTATTACCCTATTTATGTTACTCTCCACAAGAAGAGGTATTTTTGAATGAGTCTGGTGTCCACCACTTATTTGTGGGTGGACTCCCTATCTCATTCTTCCTTTTTGTCCTCATTTTGTTATTTTCTTAATATATGATTACTTGATACTAGGTCCTTTTTAAAAAAATAAAAAAAAATTTAGATCAGGCTGTGGAACTAAAATGCAGGTCTCAGTAAATATGTCTCTGAAGAAAAACCATCATTTACCACACAAAGTGCAAGTCCAGAGCATGTACAAAAACTTGAGAAAATCAGGCTTCAAATTGGTGTCATCTGAAGAGAAAAACAGACAAATCAAGGGTCAGTTTCACGATTCCAAAAGAGGAAGGTCATTAATACTATAGCCAATTAAAACATCTCAAACTTAAAAAAAATTGGTATCTAAGAAAGGACTATAAAATGCATGACTTCAGTATGCAATTCACAGTCAAATCATTTTGGGTTCTTTTCAAAGGAAAGATACATTAAGCTGAGACTTCAAAACTAAAAGTTATATTCCAGACAAGCTTTAAAATTGTTTTAACATTACAATAGAATATATATACATTTTTTAAATATATTGATATATTGATATAACAAGAAATTGTTAGATATTCTCTGGTTTCCAAGTACGTCTATTTTTATATGTGATATATTTTTTGATATTTTATTATTTAGAATAAAAAAAATCACCTGAAAAGTTTATCTAAAAATATTAAATAATTTGAAGCGTATCCAATAATATTAAATTGAGGTCAGAATGGAATATTTTCAGATTTTAAATTAAATTAAATAAATTAAATCGAGGCCAGACTTGATAATTTGAAAATTTTACAAAAATATTAAACTGACATAAGAATTATAAAAGTGCGTTGATCTGAAAAGTCTAAAAAGTGGGGCAATTAACAATGTATTGTACTTGTTGATTCGACTGGATTTCATTCTGATTGGCACATTTAACAATAATTTTCAGATGACAATGTTCTGATTGGCTTTGATTAAATATTTTAAGCTTTTCAAATTATTTAATACATTTTTTTAAATAATATATCAATACATACAATTATCAAAATATTAAAATGAGTTTCAGAATATTAAATCATTTTAAAAACATATCCAGAAATAGTAAACCAAAGCATGTAACTGATATGTAACCAACATCTATTATTAGAGATATCTCAGCAATAATAAAAACAGATTTGCACGATGTAGATGCTAAAACGTAAAAAAGCACTAGACAAAAAAATACAAAAACATATAAGAGTTTTATACATTAAACTAGAATTTGTCAAATTGTCAAACGAACTGCAAATTCTAGGCATCACTGGAAAAATGTCAACTCCATTGCTTTTCCAGCTCAGTTATTTTTTATTCAAAAGAAAACAAAAGCAATAAAAAAAAAAAATACGAGGGGCGTGGCCTGGGCTCCGACGAACATGGCCGCCTAAGCGCTGTGCTCCGCTCCACGAAAGCATATAGAACGGAGCAACCCACTACTCACCGGCACGCACTGCCACCAATGGGTCGCACAAAGAGAGGGGACCTACCCCAGACCCCCAAACCTTCCGTCTCAGGGTCGTAAACGGGGCCGATGGATGAATTCCTCCACGCGCCATGCGGCCCGGACCCCAGCTCCCCGACATCCAAAATGGCGCCGACCTCGCCAGCATCCACATGCTCCACTGCCGACACCACTACACTGGCAGACATCGGAGCAGAATTAAAGCGCATGGCAATGAGGATGGTCACAAAAGATGACCTCACCCACCTGACTAACAATCTACATGAAGTAATTAAATCTGAAGTGACCGGCCTGAAGGCTGAAATCAAAGCACAGGAACACCGCATACAGCAGGTAGAAAAAAGGGCACAGGCCACTGAAGACCACTCTACAGCCACAGACACGGCCTTCAAACGCCAGGGCACCCTCATACTAGCCATGAGGCGACAGCTAGAGGACCAGGACAACCGCAGTCGTCGCAACAATATCAGGGTAAGGGGGATACCTGAATCTACAGAGGGGGAAAACATAGAGGAGATGCTCACCTCCCTATTCCGCATCATCCTAAGGTAGGACACACCAGCGCTTATTAAATATGACAGGGCACATAGAGCACTCCGTCCCAGACCCACGGAAGGAACCCCCAGGGACATAATATGCTGCCTGCACTCCTTCGCCATCAAAGATCTGATCATGAGGAAAGCTAGATCCAGGGCCCACTGGAACTACAGGGGCGCAGAAATATCCCTCTACAATGACCTATCACCTATGACCCTGGAAGCTAGAAGAGCCCTGAGACCGGTTACCACCATCCTGAGGGAGAGGAATATGCAATATAGATGGGGTTACCCATTTAGCATCACAGTTCGCTATAATAACGAATGGGTCTCCGCACGATGGCCAGAAGACATTCCTCAATTCCTACAACGCCTGAACCTGCCGCCAACCCCAGTTCATGCCGCTGGATCATGCCGCTGGATCCAAGACCACAACCGCAGCGACAAGCAAGGCGAAGAAGATGGAACTCTCAGGGTGAAGCTCCGCGACACCGACCAGATCTAAACAACCCAGAGGAATAACCCACTACCAGACCAACCGGCACCGCTCCTGTAGACCCCACAATCCCGAGACAACACAGACAGCTGGAACCCACGTTGGAGAAGCACCTGGAGGCAAACCCGCACCCCAAGAATCAGGTACTCTGACATTGGGTAGCTAACACATTGGCACGAGACTAACAGAGGGGACACCCCCCCCCCACCCCCCTGGTGTGGGAGGGTACCACTCTTCACCTTGATACTGACCGAACTAAGGGATATCTCACTTGCAAATGGGTCCTCCACAACACGAAAGGGTTCTAAACAACAACAAAAAAAAACAAAAAAAAACGAAAAAATAAATAAATAAATAAAAAAAAAACAAGGGGACGAAAAGGGAGGGGCGGGAAGAAAACTACAGCAGGGGAGTAAGTCCTATTGGGGAGGGGGATCACAGGGGGGAGGGCTGGGGACATAGAGATTGGGTCCTAGAGACCTCCTGCAGCATTGACTTTCGTGAAGACAAAGAACTGATTCCATACTAAATGTATAGCTGATTGTGAAGCCCGAGACTGCTCCTTATTGTATGACTATTGTGAGTAACCTATTTTGAATGGCTAGACTATGCAATCTCACTCTGTGTTACTTACCGGGCCCTCCCCCCCACGTCAAAAGGACCGACATGTATAGACAACATGCTCCCAAAGAGGTCCATACACTACATGCAATCACAATTGCCTCACTCAGACGACACACTGATGACGGGAAGACACTGGGCAGACGACCATCCCACCACCCCCTGGAGGTTGTGAAATATGAACAAAAGGGGCGGGAGACGGGGCGAGGGGACATAGAGAGGGGAGGGGGGAAAGAAGGGAAAAAAAAATAAAAAATAATAATACATCAACATAACCCAGATGCAACGACCCAGACACAATGAGAAGAGGACCCACAATGCACACACCCCGAAGAGATATCCTCAAGCCCCTACTTTGACTACGCGCAAATTACCCTTGCGGTACATCCCCCCACCCGATACCAGCGACACCGAAAAGGCGCAACAAACAGGCAAACACTACAGGCACACACCAATGGCATTAGTGATGACTATATAACACCTCTACTACAGTGGACGGACGCTACAACCCCAAACGGAAATACACTTCTACACAACTGACAGATTTTACCGACGATACACAACCCTTCTCAAGTATCAACTCTACAACTAACACCGCATATACCACACAGGCACCATAGCCTAAACGGATAAGGGCCCAGACACGCTACCCACCCCTTTCGGTGCGCACGCTTGATACTACGGAGGCCGACTGGTACACCACCGGGATAGATCTCGGGGTGCCCTCCGACCGCCACCGTAGGCACACGAACTCCCTCTCCACGGAGAGGTTCACCTCCTCACATTACCACGACACGCACACCACACCTATCCTACTCTCCAACATCCAAATAAGAAACACACACCCCCATCACACGAACCAGACACGGAGCATAACATAACCGAAAGGCACTGAGCCTGAGCAGACAACTCCCCTAGACCACACAGGAGCAAATACCAACACCCCACAAACACCAACCACCTCACACGTGACCGCAGTCCAACAACCCACCCGAACGTCACTACCCCCCCCTGCGCTCCTGACCCGGCCGTCGCATCCGCCTCGAGCTAACCACCGGACGGCGCAAAGGCGCCGAACCACATCAAAACCCAGGAATTAAGCCACGGGTTCGGGCTTCCTCGGTCGACTCCAGCGTACATTAGAGGGCGGGACGCGGACGAGGGACCCCGGCACCCGACAAGACACCACCATTGCGCAGAGATACGGACAAGATGGCATACAGACCAGACCCGATGAAAATCATCACGCAAAACTGCAGGGGATTGAATCTCCCAGAACGCAGAACTAATCTCCTGAGGGAACTTCAGAGAAAGAGGGTTGCAGTAGCTCTTCTCCAAGAAACTCACTTTCGAGAAGGAGCGGCCCCGACACTCAAGAACAAACACTACCCCACTAACTACTACAGCAACCACCCTACAGCAAAAAAGGCAGGGGTCGCGATCCTTATAGCAGCTCGTCTACAATTCCAGGAACAGGATCGCCTTATAGACCACAACGGCAGATACGCCTTCGTAAAGGGGAATATCGCAGGGCGATGTTACACGTTCGCGACAATATACGTCCCCAACAACAATCAATCTAGATTCCTTAAGAACACACTGAAGGCACTAACGGACTTCACGGAAGGAACCTTGATCGCGGGAGGAGACTTCAATGTCACACTAGATCCTAAAGTAGACTCCTCAACGGGACACAGCAGCATCCCACAGAGAGAAATAAGAACCATACACCATATTCTGAAAACGCTACGCCTGGTAGACTGCTGGCGAACACTAAACCCACTAGACAGAGAATACACTCACTATTCCATAATACACAAAAGATACTCCAGGATAGACTTCCTACTATTGCAACAAGAAGCCCTAATAAGACTTAGGAGAGCATCCATACACGCTGCAACGTGGTCGGACCATGGACAAGTGTCGATAGACCTCGAATCTCCACTCATAAGACCGACGAAAATGACGTGGAGACTCAACGACTCCCTCTTAACCAACCTCCCAGTGAGGGCCCAAGTCACCGACACTCTACAGACATATTTTACCGAGAATGAGACGGGAGACGTATCAGATATGACAATGTGGGAGGCACACAAAAGTGTACTCCGGGGCAAGCTCATCCAAATCGCGTCACAACGGAAAAAAGAGGCGGGCGCACTTATGTCAAAAAAAAAAAATACAATTACAGAATTTTATGAAATATCTGTATTCTATATAACATTATATAAAGTACAAGGTATACTGCTGTGTGTGATCTATGGCTTGAAATAATATTGACTACTGTTACTAAGATATATATTCTATGCATTTTTGTACACTGACATAAGTTATGTTACTTCACCTGTTTACCAAAATACCCCCAAAAGTACCAAAAAGTAAAATTTAAATAATTAATTTTAATATAGGCTTTAAGTCCAGACTCTCAGCTTAATGTGAAGAAGGGTTTAGGAATTACAGCTCTTTAATATGTAGCCCTCTCTTTTTCAAGGAACCAAAAGTAATTGGACAATTGACTTAAATGCCGTTTCATGGACAGTTGTGGGCCATTGCTCCGTTATTTCTTCATCAATTAAGCAAGTAAACAGTTTGGAGTTGATTGCAGGTGTGGCATTCACATTTGGAAACTGTTTCTGTTGCTGTGAACCTACAACACACAGTCAAAGGAGCTCTTAATGCAAGTGAAACAAGCCACAAAAAAAACTACATCAAACAGATAGCAGGAACATTAGGAGTGGCCAAATAAACAGTTTGGTACATTCCGAGAAAAAAAGAAAGCACAAGTGAGCTCGGCAACACAAAAAGAACTGGACATCTTGGAAAACAACAATGGTGGATGATTCACAACAAAGAAGAGTTAGGCGCTCACTAAATAAACTAAAGGTGGGCAGCAGTGAACCAAGCAGGAATTCCCAATACCTGCTCACAGTAGTAAAACAGAAGAGACAAAAGTGGTAAAACCGCGCCCAAACAGTGCAAATAATAATTAAAATATATACATACAGAGAATCCTCTAATTAGGAATGTATGTGGATTATACCGTCTAGGCGCTATACGGCAGAGCTCTGAGTAGCTCTGCAAAGTGTGAGTGAGTCTTTTATAAGCTTTTATATACTCTTATTTCACTTGACATATTGCACTATTATTGTTCTGTACTTTTTTGCCTTGAAGGTTTTATACATTCCTAATTAGAGGATTCTCTGTATGTATATATTTTAATTATTATTTGCACTGTTTGGGCTTGGTTTACCAATGGTGGATGATTGTAGGAGCCTTTTCATGGTAAAGAAAAACCAATTCACAACTAAGTGCAGAACACTCTCCAGGATGTCTACCATAAAGAGAAGACCTGAGAAGAGCAAATACAGAGGGCTCACCAAAAGATGCAAACCATTAAAAATCTTCAAGAATAGAAAGTCCATATTAGACTTTGCCAAAAAATATCTAAAAAGCCAGCCCAGTTCTGGAACAGAATTCTTTGGATAGATGAAACTAATATCAACCTGTACCAGAATGTTGAAGTTGACAAAGTTGATTAGACATCTCTTAACTTTACAGATGAACAAAGAACCAAAACATCCTGCGGAAGCAACTCAAGCGTTTTTTTAAGCAAAGAAGTGGAATATTCTGCAATGGCTGAGTAAATCACCTGATCTCAACTAGATCGAGCATGCATTTTGCTTGCTGTAGACAAAACTTAAGACAGAAAGACCCATAAACATGCAACGACTGAACTGGTAAAGCATCACACAGGAGGAAACTAAGTGTTTGATGATATCCATCCATTCCAGACTTCAAGCAGTTGTTGTCTGCAAAGGATTCTCAACAAAATATTAACAAAGTATTAAGAATTAACATTTTATTTATGATTGTGTTAATTTGTCCCTGAAATAAGGATACCGTGTATGAAAATGGTTGCAATTCCTAAACAATGGTTCAAATCCCTAAACAATATTTTTGTTCCCATTGAATTAAAGCTGACAGTCTGCACTTTCACTGGGGTGGGAGAGTAGCAGAACTGGAAGGTGATAGTGGAGTATGGCCCTCAAAGAGAGAGCAATAGATAGTTTTGTGAGATAACAGTTATTCTTGGAGGTCATAGGCTATTCTGAAGACATGAATTTTGAGGGAATTCTTAAATAGTTGAGTATAGTCTGGTGGGAGAAGGCAGGTTGTTCCAAAGAAGTGGAGCAGCTCGTTAGAAGTCCTGCAAACACGAGTTAGCAGCATGGATATGAGCATGAACAGTGGACAGGAGTAGGTCACAGGCAAAGCAGAGCGACCGAGAAGGGGCATACCTATGAATTAGTGAAAAATTGTAGTGGGAGATAGAGTTGTTCAGAGCTTTTTACGTAAGGGTTAGTATTTAGAATTTAATCCTATAGGTTACAGGAAGCCAATTTAAGGATTGACAGAAGGGTGATGTGTGAGAGGAGCAACATGAGCGAAAAATCAGCCTGGCAGCAGCATTCATTATGGGCAGTATGGTTTTGGGGGAAACCAGGGACGGATGCGGGTATGGCTTGAAGGAAGTGTTTAATCTCTATCTAAGCCATTCCTCTAGTAGTGGGAAAGCTTTAGGTAATACTGAATGGGGGGCCATTCCAGGGGATTCCAAGCACTTGACCAGTCCAATGAGATGAAATCTTTATAATGCCTACAATGTACCTTTAAGATAGTTGTAATACATTTGCATCACAAAGAATATGCTAATATGCTAAATATCATAATATACTGTAACCGCAGCTGGTTTCCCTATTCACCACTATTACGTCTTAAAACATAGAATTTAGCAGGGCTAACCGTACAGATATCTTATACTGTATATACTCGAGTATAAGCCGAGTTTTTCGGCACATTTTTTTGTGCTGAAAAAGCTCCCCTCGGCTTATACTCGAGTCAGTGTCTGTATTATGGCAACTTAGATTGCCATAATAGAGACCAGGACCACCGGGCTTCCTGTTGGGGGCCAGAGCAAGCTGTTACCTTTGTAGCAGCTCCGGTCAGCTCCCCCATTCAGCTCACAGTGTAAGTCTCGCGACACCCGCTCCGCGCGGCACGCAAACCTCGAGACTTACACTGTGAGCTGAACAGGGGAGCTGCACGGAGCTGACAGGGAGCTGACCGGAGTTGTTACAAAGGTAAGTAAGAGCTTGCTCCGGGCCCACCCCTGCACAGCCCATCCACTGGACCGCCAGGCCAGACAACAAGCAGGGAGGGGGGACCAAAAAATAATAATTTAATAAATATTAAAATAATTTAAATAATAATATAATAATAATATAAAATAATATAATATAATAATAAAAAAAGCCCCCCCCACCCAGTTTACACACACACATACACACACACACACACACACACTCTGCATTATATACACACAATGCAGAGTGTGTGTAGTGTGTGTATATAATGCAGAGTGTGTGTATGTAATGCACACACTCTGCATTATATACACACACACTCATACAAACACACACTCTGCATTATATACACAGCCACTCTGCATTATATACACACACTGCATTCACACAAACACACACACACTCTGCATTCATTATATACACACACTACACACACACTCTGCATTCATTATATACACACACTACACAAACACACACACACACACTGCATTCATTATATACACACACTACACAAACACACACACACTGCATTCATTATATACACACACTACACAAACACACAGCATTCATTATATACACACACTACAAACACACACTGCATTCATTATATAAACACACTACACAAACACACACACACTGCATTCATTATATACACACACTGTAAATAAATATTCGATTAATGTAATTTTATTGGGATCTAATTTTATTTAGAAATTTACCAGTAGCTTCTGCATTTCCCACCTCAGGCTTATACTCGAGTGAATAAGTTTCCACGTTTTTTTGTGCTAAAATTAGGGGCCTCGGCTTATATTTGGGTCGACTTATACTCGAGTATATACGGTATATAAAATTTATAAATAATTGAGAATACAATAAAAATAGGGATTGTTTTGGAAGCAATAAAGTTTTGTCTTTTAAAATATTTTATTAAATAAAAATATATAGAGAGATATAATCCAATTATAATAATCCATTACAATAATTTGTAGGAGAGTTTATAAGATTAAAGTATATGCTTGCAATATCAGTAAAATTTAATAATATACCTTCTTGAACAAGTCATCCTCTTAGTCATGATAAAATGGAGCAGTGTCTCTGCATCCAAAATTCTCTCCTCTGTCTCTCTAATATTAATAATTACACATATTTATACCTCCGATTTTCAATTAGGTCATGTTAGGACCTACCTTAACTTGGCAAAGATACAGGACCATGAGCATTAAATGAGAAATCCTTGACTTTTCACATGGGAATATCTTAATCAGTCTGTTGTCATGACCTAGAACTTAAGGGTACACATGAAATTCCCTGACTTGTTGTTACATTAACCTATGACACAATGGTGTCCTAAAGTATGAATACCATATTCACTGAATATGGGTAAGAGGCCATTTATTAAAGATTTTATCAAAAATGATATTTTCCATTCATAACAAATTATCATTTTGCAAAATCTCTTAAAGACAAAGCACACGGTTTAAGAAATACTTTCTGCTTCCCCTTACAGAATAGGTAGAATTGTGATGGTGAATAAAATGCTCCTTACACCAGTTGGTGTGTTGAGTCAAGACTTCAGAATGTACTTACTCTAAGTGTAGGAAGAGGTCCAATTGGACCATGAACATATGGGTCCTGGCACATTAATCGTAGGACTATTTTTTCTTTGTCATAAGGCCAGCGATAAACAATGGTGTTTCTTAACCAGATGGGTACGTCTTCCTGGAAAACACAAAACAAAAAAATATATTTTTGTTTTACTTCAGAAGGCTGTTAAATGCATTAATGTCTTAATACTCTGCAATGGATAAGACAAGGGTCCCGTGACCATTACTACTGTGCAGCTGTACCGTCTACTATTGCTTTACTGTTTAAGTGAGACTCTCATTCTTATCAATTGCAGTCAGATGCTGAAACCTGAATAAATACCGCTCAGTGAACCACCAAATGGTGGAAAGGACAAGACTATGGGTAAGTCAAGTCTTGCAGGTAAAGGTCTGTCAAGCAATGTGATTAATGTTTGTAACAGATCACCTGGCCCCCCGACTGGGTACCTCCGTTAAAAGATGCTCCTAGCGCTTCCTGAGGACTCCAAGCACTGTAGCCGACACCACAACCACCGCAGGCCGAACCTCTGTTCTTTCAAAGCGAAGCAGGAACAAGCTCTTACAAGAGCTTAGGAGTGATTAAAGCAACGGAATATGCAGAGCATAGCAATCCCTTGTAGCAGATTCCCCCAATAAGATACATGACTCCAAATTGAGGGTGAAGTAGAACTGTCTAAAACTTTATTTTACTTGGGACCAGCCCATATGGTCATTACATTAACATTGCTGTGAAAACTCAATAAAATTACAATCAAATCATAGCAGGCAACATACAGTGACTTATTATAACACAATGGCATATTTTTAAAAAGGTGGGGGAGACAATAATTAACAGAAAATATCTCACATGCCTGCAGAATTGGCAATATGCAAATCTACCCGAATATGCAAATGAACCAGTCTTGCTAGTCAGGTAGTGCATTTTGCTGTTGCTACCAACAGAGGGCACTACACAAGCTCCATAGCCAAATCCACTTAGTTGGTAGCAATCCTCAGCAGTACAGGAGAGCAGGAAATACATCCCAGGGGCCATAGTCACATGGAAGGAGGCTGGCAATCAGTCTTCTCCAATGCCCAGTGGCGAGGCTGGTCCGCCACAATGTTTTTTTTTCAGGGATAGGAAACCCCTTGGCATATTGCATAGAAGCATGCTTTTCTATCTTCCACTATCAGACTGCTGTACAGGATTGATGACATTAACATTTATGTAGGAATAATCCCATTGTATCAATGCAGAATTTTACTATGTTTCTGTCTCGATTTTATTACAATCAATGTGGCTGAAGAGGTTGTGGTCTCCAGGAAGAGCTTTGGTTCATGTAAAACCATTACTAAACAATATGACATTAAATGAGGAGATGGTACCAAGGCACTCTAAGCAACGTAACAAATAAACTGCTCATCTGAGAATTAGTGGATGAGCAGCTCAAAAGTGGTAAGCAAGGGCTCCCTTGCATTGTGTAATAGGAATAGGTAGGGAGGGAGACAAGTGTGGGGAGCTTTTCAGAATTTTTGATTGGTAGTGATATCCGAAGCCTAAAGCAGACCTAGTTATATCGGATGGAGGCGTGCTCAGATGTCCTATGCAGGAAGGTTAGTCTGGTCCTCCATAGCACATTTATTTTCTCAACATTCTTGAGCTACTAGTTGACTGTGAGGGGACAATGCTACTTTTGGAGGAGCGGCATAAATCATTTGGCTGTGTTTAGATATTTTATTAGTAGCTCCTTATATTTATATATTGGGATTTTAGTTTGATAAAGCCAAAAAAATATAACAAGAGTAAAGGAATAAACCACTGGTAACTATAACAATACAATGATGTGGGCAGCTACATACAGAAACAAGCGACTCAAAGAGAAGAAACCCAAAATATAAAGTATGTAGTATGTGCGCTTCTAAATAATATACAAAGCGAAAATAACTGTTTCTATAGAAAAACAGATATAACTTTAATAGAAAATAAAACCAACATATAAAATAACGAGATTCTGCTAAACTCCTTTCTAAATCGATCAGTCTATGTATAGAGACACTTCTTATATACAAGTGATTCCTAATAGTTCTAAATAGGTAAATCCTATAATTAGCACAGCATAGCTGATAACGCTTATTGTGTGTAAATTACCTGTGTCTATACTTCTTTGTTTTTTCAATATTGTTACGAATGGACATAACATTTAGGTGTTTCATATTTGTTACATATTGACACTTTTTAACTCTTCATACTGGGTTGCTACACGCTGCTTCATTTAATGATACTGTTGCAACATTCCCGGCTTGAAGTGTTCTGGTGACCTATCTATTAATTTATATTTATTTATTGGTTTTTTTTCGTAAATAGTTTTGACATCCGACAGGATTGTGGTCTTTAGAGTATATAGCTCTCGTTCTTTGGTCTCTAGAGGAGATATATCCGTCTTTTTGGAGGAGATATATCTTTAACAGATTTTCTCTGTTTCAGGTGATACCTGTTGAGACTGTACTACTCGTATTTTGGTATATCTAAATATCACAATTTTTCTGTTTTTCCCATAATTTAAGACTTGTATTTTGGTTATTCAGCACAATCTGTTGCCACAGTATGCTGTGATTGGGGTATTCAACATCTACCTATTTAGATCTATTAGGATTTCCTTGTATATAAGAAGTTTCTCTATACAGAGACTGAGTGATTTGGAGAGGAGTAAGGAGTTTTTCTATAGAAATAGTTGATTTTGCTTTGTAAATTTTTAGGAGCACACATACTACATACTTTATAAAGCCAGAAAAAGGCTAACCATGGTTGGTTTTCACTTATTGAAATGTTTAAAGATTTTGCACAAATGCTCCTAGTTTTGGCACCATTTTTACTTACCTCACTGGCATTTGGAAAAAGAATGGGAATGAATCTGTAATTTATGCTGCCTTGTTGAATGAACTGATTCTGCATCTAAACAAAACATAGTAAGACAAAAAACAAAATTACATCGTACAATGAAACTCTTGTAATATTTAAGTTAGAAATTACACCTGTAATCAATCGAAATGAAAGATACATATGTAAAACATATCACACACACACCTTTTTTGTAATGGCCTAAAAGAATCAGGAACCAGTCTTTATTTCCTCTTTGAGATTTTTTGTTTCTTTTTTTTACGATGATCACACTTTGACTTCATTTACAAAATAAGACAAATGAGTAGTATTGCAAGGAAACATAAGATGCATTTGCAATTTGAAGGACTTTACATTCCTTAAGCAAAAAAAAAAAAGACTGTGCGAGCTGCTCATCTGTAATCACTCCTCTGACAGTCGAGGAAACATTTATAAGAAAAGAAAGGTACATGAGAGTACCTCTTTTTTTTATTCTTTATTTTTGATATGTCGTTGCATCACATATACAAAAAGAAAAGTCCTGCGCTCACTCTCATCACTCCTGGGCGGCAGCAACGACTACAGTACACATCAGCTAATACATATAGTAAAAACCAAAGAAAAAAGGTTACCTGCGCTCTCTCCTTAATCCCTATGTATATTTAAACAAACGGAGGTCATTTAGTTACTCCAATGGCCACTGGAGGGAATGCCCGCCTGCCAATGTCAAGGCAGACCCCCCTAGACGGGTCCTACTCTGCCCTTTACCTGGCTTCCTTGAGCTTCTGGCAAAAATATCTCTGATGAGACAGAAAGTTGTTTTTTTAATATATACACCCCTATACACTTGTTAACCCTTAATAGGGAACACATGGGATGGGCGGCAGCATTGTAACCTAGCTGTGTGATACAAAAAGTGAATACAAATACAAAAAGAAAAGTCCTGCGCTCACTCCCATCACTCCTGGGCAGCAGCAATGACTACAGAACACATCAGCTAATGCATTCCCTCCAGTAGCCATTGGAGTAACTAAATGACCTCAATTTGTTTAAATATACATAGGGATTAAGGAGAGAGTGCAAGTAACTTTTTTTCTTTGGTTGCATCACAGAAGAGAAAAGAGCACAGTCAGTAAAAAAGAGGGACAAAACTTTTTTTAGATACATAAATGAGAAAAGAAAAGTAAAACAGTTAGATTAAAAACAAAAGAAGGAAGGTATGTAGAAGAGGATAAAGGTCTAGCTGACTGCCTTAATTAATATTTTTGTTCTGTATTTACAGATGAAAATGAAGGAAAGGGACCTCAGTTAAGAAAAAGGATAAATGAGTAATACATTACACGTAAGTTTACAGAGGAAGAGGTTCTATTTCAACTGTCAAAAGTAAAGACAAATAAGTCAATGGGACCTGATGGGATACACCCAAAGCTATTAAAAGAGCTTAGTGGTGTACTAGCAAAACCATTAACAGATTTATTTAACCAATTATTGTTAAAAGGAATAGTCCCAGAAGATTGGAAGTTAGCGAATGTTGTGCCCATTCACAAGAAAGGTAATAGGGAGGAGTCGGGCAACTATAGGCCAGTAAGCCTTACTTCAGTAGTGGGGAAAGTGATGGAAACCATGTTAAAGGATGGGATTGTTGAACATCTAATAACACATGGATTTCAAGATCAGAGACAACATGGGTTTATTTCAGGGAGATCATGCCAAACTAATCTTATTGATTTTTTTGATTGGGTAACTAAAATTATAGATCAGGGTAGTGCAGTAGACATTGCTTACCTAGAATTCAGTAAGGCTTTTGACACTGTTGCACATAGAAGGCTTATCAATAAACTGCAATCTTTAAGTTTGGATGCCAATATTATTGAATGGGTAAGGCAGTGGCTGAGTGACAGGCAACAGAGGGTTGTAGTCAATGGAATATATTCGAAGCTTGGACTTGTCACCAGTGGGTTACCTCAGGGATCTGTACTTGGACCCATTCTCTTTAATATTTTTATTAGTGATATTGCAGAAGGTCTTGATGGTAAGGTATGTCTTTTTGCTGATAATACTAAGATATGTAACAGGGTTGATGTTCCAGGAGGGATAAGCCAAATGGCAAATGATTTAGGTAAACTAGAAAAATGGTCAGAATTGTGGCAACTGACACTCAACATCTGAGGAAAGGGATTTAGGGGTGATTATTTCTGATGACTTAAAGGTAGGCAGACAATGTAATAGAGCAGCAGGAAATGCTAGCAGAATGCTTGGTTGTATAGAGAGAGGTATTAGCAGTAGAAAGAGGGAAGTGCTCATGCCATTGTACAGAACACTGGTGAGACCTCACTTGGAGTATTGTACAGACAGAAGGATATTGATACCTTAGAGAGGGTTCAGAGAAGGGCTACTAAACTGGTTCATGGATTGCGGGATAAAACTTACCAGGAAAGGTTAAAGGATCTTAACATGTATAGCTTGGAGGAAAGACGAGACAGGGGGGATATGATAGAAACATTTAAATATATAAAGGGAATCAACACAGTAAAGGAGGAGACTATATTTAAAAGAAGAAAAACTACCACAACAAGAGGACATAGTCTTAAATTAGAGGGACAAAGGTTTAAAAATAATATCAGGAAGTATTACTTTACTGAGAGGGTAATGGATGCATGGAATAGCCTTTTTTAGCTGAAGTGGTAGAGGTTAACACAGTAAAGGAGTTTAAGCATGCGTGGGATAGGCATAAGGCTATCCTAACTATAAGATAAGGCCAGGGACTAATGAAAGTATTTAGAAAATTGGAAAATTGGGCAGACTAGATGGGCCGAATGGTTCTTATCTGCCGTCACATTCTAGGTTTCTATCACATATGACAACCACAAAAAACATTAAACGTTACAGGCAGTTGTTGGACAAGAATACAGGTACAGGTTAGTGTTCGTCATGTGACCCTCAATGGTTAAGAAATTGGTGCCTCTAGGCGTCCACATTGTCGTTCATGAATGTCTAGTGCCCTGACGACACCATTATTCCAAGAAATAAAAACATAATACAGTACAGTAACATTAACAATTATAGAGTGTCATTTCAGGTATATTCACAGTTTAATCACTTATGTAGCTATGTAGTTGCTCGTACATATGTAGTTTAATAACACTCACACCAGATGTAGAGAAAGAAAAAAAGAAGGGGAAAAAAGGAGGGGAAGGATAGTGTCCCTCACATGGTCGGAGTTCGGGGTGGAGGGGTTGTTCAAGCTTGATTTGGTTAGGTTTCCACGGTTAGGTTCTTGCCTTTTCGAGATCGGTTGGCCCAGAAGGAGTTTCATGTCAGTCTTGGGTTCGTGGCCTGCTGACCTGGAAGGCCAGGGGTGGGATTCTTTTTACTGGGTGTAGGGGTGTATGGCTCCCCCTCCCAGCTCCCACTTCCTCTAGTCCCCCCAATCCCAGCCATCCACATCTCCCATATTTTTTCATATGATTTCATTGTACCTCTAACTTGGGCACTCAGATGGTCCATGATATGGGTGAGAGTACCTTTTTTTTTTTTTTTTTTTAAACATCAACAGTGCCACTATTTAAAGGAACACTATAGGGTCAGGGACACAAACATGTATTCTTAACCCTATAGTGTTAAAATCACTATCCACCCCCCTTACCCACCCCCTTGCCTAAATATAGTAAATTCTTACTTGTATTCAAGTCTGCAGCTGCTGCCTATGCCTCTGAAATGCTCTGCTTGGCTGACATCATCAATAGTGATTCTCTGAGCCAATTACAATGCTTTCCCATAGGATTGACTGAGACTGTCAAGGAGGCAGATCAAGGGCAGAGCCAGCACAAGTCAAACACAGCCCTGGCCAATCAGCATCTCCTCATAGAGATACTGTACATTGAATCAATGCATCTCTATGAGGAAAGTTCAGTGTCTCCATGCAGAAGGTGGAGACACTGAATGGCAGCCATCTGAGGAGCAAAATTAGTTCAAAATGGTCTCACTGCAGCTTTAAGGTGCAACATTCTAAATCTACACATGTTTTGTCTTTGTAAATAAGATTTATTTATCAGACATACGCAGCATGGGTGCATTTTTTTTTCAGTATAGATCAATAATATACACTTACAATTGTGTGGATATATTTGGTGTGCAAGCCATGTTCATTGCTGATAGCTCCTCCATATTTTTCTATATCCAGCTTGTACTGTGGGCTTATGGCTATTATTATCTTCATGGACATCTGTTTAGAAAAAAAATAATAAAAACATAGCAACAAATCGGCAAATGGCAAGTTGATATGGGATAATGTTAAAGGAAATACAAATATAAACCTGTTCACTCAAAAAGCAAATACAATTTAAGTTCTCCATATGGTAGAGCAATAGATTACATTCACCACCACAAATTCAGAGTCAATTTTAAACTTTAGGTAAAAATCCAATTTGGGAATTCTCCTAGTCATTTTAGGGTGGAATGTTCCTTACATCTCACTCCTGAAAAAACTTTATTGAGATTACTAACCTTTAATACTTACATCTTTAAGTTTATCATCCATCCAAACCTGGATATTCATCCCTAGTACTGATTGCTCAAATATGTCAACCTAAAACAAAGACACAAGAGAGATTTTAGAAGGTACTCAACAAAAAGTGAAAGGTGTATCGCATTCATTAGAAGTGGTACCATAACCTTATGGAAGTCCTCAGTCATGAAATTGAAAGTTTGCTAATAGAAAGGAGGAACCAAAGTCTTCTAAAGTGTCCAATGTGCTTTTATTGCTTGGCAACTCGCCAGACTAAAGGTCACCTTTTGGTGGTGAACTCTTTCAGGTCATCCTTTAGTAGTAGACCTGAATGCAAACTGAACACTTTAACCCATTAATTACGGAGGCAATTGAAGTTTTGATCAAAACAAAAACTAGAATTTGAGCTATATGTCCGTTCAGCCATAATTTACCTCTTTCATATTAGGTGTACCCACACTTTTATATATGACTTTGTCAGAAATTTTGGTGGGAAACCAAATAATTTCAAGACAATGAATTGATAAGGCCACTCCCGAAGGGTGAATGCCTTCTCTGTGTCCAACAAAAGGAGGAAGGAAGGCATTCTGTTAGACATGGTGCACTAGATCAAGTCAATATTGCGTTGGGTGTTCATAAAGGCATGTCTAGTAGGAAAAGGCCAATCTGATTAGAATGATTAGAAAGTCAAGAAGGAGTGAGGACAATATTAGCTGTGACTATGGTAAATATCTTGTAAACACACTTGAAGAGGGTATAAACTATAAATAGGGATCTTTTAATTCTTTGGGTATAAGAATCAGAGCTCAAAAGTCATGACCTACTAGCCAGAATTAAAAGCCACTTGCCACCACAAACATATATGCAGATATAAAAGGTGTGTTTATTGCTATGTGTATTTGTTGTCCATATATAGATGGAACAGTTCATCATTAAATGCGATTTTAGTGATTCTGGACAACTTGCTTCCCTAGATTCAAAGAAATGGAATCCCATGATGATGTCTCTGTGTTGTTTACCTTTTCGACCTTTATGGCTCTGTGGATCCAGTTGATAAACCACAATAAACTTAGTATAATAGAGTTCAGGAAGCCTTTTCCGGTCTGTTCTGAGAGTCCCCAGATTCTAAAGTTGTTACACTGTGAGTGATTTGATAAATCTTTTATTATGACTTTATCATTTGCCATTCTGGCTGAAAGGCACTGGTCCAGTCTATGAAAGTGTTGTGGGCTTCACTACCTTCTTCATTCTCTCCTCGATTTCAGCAGTCCTCTGTCCAAGCATCCAGATCTCGTTTATTTTCTCTCTAGAGATTATCAGGCTGAATAAACCTTGAGAGCACTTATATGGCTTAATTGTGAACTGTCAATGTTGTCTGTACAGTTTTCCATGTCGAAGGAGAATGTGGTGGCACCGTCTCCATATTACTATGCAACCTGCTGTTTTTAGGCTGGAAATAAATAGCGACAGATGATTCCCCTAACTTCTGCCTTTTCTGCTGACTCATCATAAAGGTGAGAGGTGTTTTGTTTTAAATATTTTTATTGTATTCATAACATGGATGCATGTATCAAACTGTTTTGTCAAATAATGAAGCAAGTGATTGCCCGCGCAGGGGCTTAAGCATCAATTTATAACGGTGGAAACATTCGGTTGCCTGCGCAGAGGACCGTTTAGCGTGACATTGTTGTTCACCTTTCGTTGCTATGTGCCATAGATTCTTATCCGTGGCATCTAGTTGTTAGATTCCTATTGTTTTGGCTTTGTATAAAATCTAAAAAAACTATAGCATTAGGACTGACAAAAGGGAAGCTCAGTTAAGATTCAAAAGTTGTGCACGTTATATGCGGGTGCTAAGTATGAAATGGTCAATACGTGCAGTGCTTGCTTAGATGCGTGGCTAAATGTTCAGGTCTGTGTGCGTTAAGCGGGCTCTTCTTGAGCCAGGTGCATGCGCTAGGTGTCTTGAACGGAGCTTATCTCCTGAGCACTGTGAAAGCGAGCGTCGGGTGGCTGCCTGTCTCCCGGTGAGGCGATATATAGCAATATGGCGTGTGTTGTGGTAGAGGGTGTTGTATTTTGCAATTTAATAAGGTTTGTCAGCTGAAGACAGCAGGACCACGTGGGGTGTCGTTCTGTAGCGTCCCTACCAAAACTATATTCGGGTCCCATTGCTACCTCAAGTACACATGTTTTTATACGATATGTTAGTCAGGCATCGTGAAGCAGGGGTTTAGGCATAGCTAGCAGCCCTATTACTGCGTCTAATGCGTCGTGAACTAGGCATGCGGTAAGGATGGATGTATACAGAACAAAGCAAAAATAAATTAACGGTAATAACTGTAACAGTAAAGGAGCCAGGCTGGTCTTAGTATCTGTCCGATGAGGGCCTCCCGTGGCACGGCCGCAGTGCATCTCCTGGGATGCCGAGTCTCCGTCCGTCCTCCCCGGAGCGACCCCAGCCCATCACATGGGTCCCCCGCGGTGCTGTGGGCACTCGGTGGCAGAGACAGTCCACTTGACCCCCACACCTAGAGTCCGCGGGCCTCCTGCTCCCTGCACCTCCCCAACACCGCCCAGGGAAGCGAGTGTCCCAATGTCTCTCCTGGCGCCGGCCACATACTTGGAGCCGGTGCCCGCCGCCCCCGGCCACCGGTCCGCCGGGGGGGCCACGCAGACCAGCCCCACAGGGCTCCCAGCATCAGGGACAAGGCTCTCCGGGGACCTCCCAGACCCAGATGCCTGGGCACTCACTTTTTCTGACGGGTGGGCAGTCGTCACGAGGGATCCATCTGGTGCTCAGCAATGCCAGAGTCCGTATCGGCCGTTTGGATCAGCTCGCCATGGTGGGTATTCTTCATGGTTACTACAGCTCTGATTAGTCACTGGTGGCTTGAGGGAGAACATACACAGGCAGTGGGGTGCAGCTGCATTAGGTCTCCAACCTCTGTATTAGTGCAGGTCTCCTTTATCTCTGCCTGATTGCCTCCTCAGGTGAGTGTACCTTCCCCACCGTGGCAGTGTCCACATCTGCCGGCTGGCCGTCCTCCACACAGCCGTTGCTCTGCTCCACACCCTTCCTAGGTGCTTCCTCTTGAAGGCGGATGGCTTCCACCTTATCAGCTCCCACATCTGCTGGCTGGCTGTGCTGTATGGAGGCTTTGCCAGTATAGGCGTCCAGCACGTTACCGCAGCGGGGGCTCCCGTCACGGCACGAGCGGTCGCCATGTGGCCGGGATAACCCCCACCGGCCGGGGGGGGGACAGGGCCGTGCCCCGGGCCGGGAGTTGCTCTTTGTCGGAGTATTCCTCTCGTGGCTTCTTCTGCCCGGGTGCCTCGGCTCAGCGCTTCCCCGCGGATGCGCATGCGGTCGGATTCTCAGCCGTTGGTAGGCCGGGGATGGCTGCCTCCACTCACCCGACAGGCGAGGAGTTTCATGCGGGTAGCGGGTAAAAGCTTAGGTCATTCTCCGTGCACAGGTGTCGGAGGATCCGTCTTTTAAGCGGTCAGGAACAGTATTTTGTGCTGTTATCACGAGCTCACAGCCGGAGCTCAAGCTAATGGCCTCCAGTCGGCCGGTGAGAGGTGTTTTGGTTGTCAGTTTTGGTTGGTGGGATTGCATAAAATATCTGTATTTTGCTATTTGCAGGGTTCCTCAGAGAGAGCTATGAGCTCATGCATCCATTCAGTTCACTAGGCAACCCACATGAAAATTAAAGTGGAATTTATCTACTGCAAGATGTAGTGGACCCTGAGATTGCTACGTAACCAGTGGACTTAATAATTACAAGTCATTATTTAAAAAAAGATGATATACTTACTGTTGTCATGAACCCATTCTTGAAAAGAAAACCGGCCAGGCGTATGACCTCCTCAGCGACGTCCTTGGAATAGGTAATAAAGACTTTCACTGTAAATAAACATTAATTTGTTATCATAGCTTATAGTAAGGACAAATTGGACAAACTGTTCAGGGGATGCTGATGCAATGCTTTCTGTACCAGCATACCAAAATTGCAGGTTTGCACATTACCAATACAATTAACTGTAAATCGGAAATGTAGATTATTTACATCCCAATAATTCTGTCTGGGGATAATTGCATTTACATATCATTTTACTTAGGATAATTGCACAGTACAAAATTGTTTATGCAGCAACATCATCAGCAACATCAAACAGTGTGTCTTATTTACTAAAGTGCAAATCTAAAATGCAAAATGAACTTAAAATTTTAGGCCAAAATGAAAAATAATGTGGGTGGCTCAGTGTCCTGAAGAACCCCCCTTGGTCAGTGGGTGGGACTTCTAATTATAATGACCTGGGGTCCTAATGTTCCCCTCCAGGCCACACCATGGGCAGCAGGTTTGTATCAAAAATATAAATGGGGGTGGAGACCTAATGACCCCCAGCCCCTATGAGTGTTGTGTGGAGCTCTAATTAAATATACGATAAGTGATAGACATGCCATTGTCTACCGTCGCAGTTGTCCTTAAGTAACCCCCTGGATGGTTAGGGGTCTCTCAAGCCCCTACCACCTTCTCGAAGTGAATGCACCCTACCTACCCACCCTAGTAATAGTGAGGGACGGGGAAGGGAGGGGGATGGACAATAAAGCTAAAACATATCGAAATATATATATATATTTTATTTTATTTTTTTACATCAGATGTCTTTTTTCTCAAATCTTTTTTATCCAGCAGCAAAAAAGGTCAAAAACTTCCCAACACAACAAATAAAAGAAAAACTGGATAGTATAAAAAAAACAAACAAAAAAAACGTAACGAAATAAAAACAATCCTTCTTTGTCCCAAAAGTGCTCATTGCAGACTGAAGTTGCATGGCGGGAAAAGTCCTTATGAGGGCATCCCCACAACATGATATTTCAGTCAGAGTGCTCTGTCAGGGGGGCGTGGCTTGGACGCCGATCGGAATGGCGGCGTGAACCCGAAGCTCCCTGCAGGCTCTGCACTATCACCCGCCTCATTAGCCCCACACACAGCGAAATGGGCAAAACAAACCGGCAACAGCAAGCGGCAGCGGCCGCCAACAATCCCAGGGGGTCCCAGACGCCGGGCATGAGACAATACCTCCTGACCCAAGCGGATCACGTCTCTCAGGCCTCCAGTGACTCGGAGGCCTCGGGCCTGGCCCGCCCGCCCTCACCAGGCAGCAGACATCACGAACAGGTACTACTTACACCTGACCTACCCCCATCCCAGCTGGACTGGGCATCCCTATTGAGCAACCTACCCACGAAAGCTGACCTTAAAGAGGCAAATGCCGCCCTCCACAAGTCCATAACAGGGGAACTCCATGCCTTGAGGGAGGACATGCAGGGGCTACACCATAAGCTAGCATTGTTGGAGGCAGACTGTGACCATGTGACATCTGCACAAAACGCCACCGCAAACGTAATACAGCGGCAGACGCTACAACTGCGCCAAATGGCCCTCCACGTGGAAGACCCCGATAATAGGGGGAGGCGGCAGAATATCAGAATTCGGGGCCTGCCTGAGGAACTGGACCAGACAACCCCAATACGAGATTCCCTCACGGAAATCTTCAACTCCCTCCTACAGCGGCCGAACACGACGCCTATTGATTTCGTTAGGGCACACAGAGCCCTCAGACCCAGAGGCCCTTCGGAGTCCCCCCCAAGGGACGTGATATGCTGTTTACTACACTTTCAAGTGAAGGAAGACATCCTGAAGAGCGCTAGGGAGAAACAACAAATCTTTCATCATGGCGCGGAACTGCAACTATACCCGGACCTATCTCCAGCGACCCTGGCATACCGACGGGCATTGCGCCCTTTTACACGCACACTACAAGCCAACAAGATCAGATATCGGTGGAACTTCCCCACTGGCATACAGGTCACCACAAGCACCGGCTCCTTCGCAGTGAAGAACGACGGCGATATGAGGGACATTGCCCGGGAACTACAACTACCGCACATACAGCTGACCTGGCCGGACCCGATGTCCTTCTACGAGTTTTCACCCGAAGCACACCGCCAGTCGCAACAGCCCACCAGGCCACGAAGAACTAGACAGCAGACCACGCGCCCCACGGGCGCCAACATATAAAGGACTGCGCACCACCTACCTTCCATCCTGGGCCTCACCTCGACCCACCCGTGGACCAGACACACACCTCCATACCCGATTTCCAGATCCAGAGACTGTGGACACAATGCGCTGACCCATCCGAACCGCAAGTATACCTCCCACGGGAGACACACCCAGCCACATAAGCAGAGAAGCACCAGGGGGCGTACCTGGGACACAGGAGCCCGGCCACGCGGAGCCCTGTGGCCTAATGGACTAATTTAACCTTTTTATGATAACGCAAGGTGCAAGGGTAACGAGGGACATCTGGTCCACATATAAAGGGTTAGGAGAATATAGAGTGTCCGCCCCCCCGGCTGGGTCCGGCCGCCGCCGTCCGCCCGCTCTGCGATGAACCTCGGGGAGCAGGCGGGGGATGGTGCCGGCTGGGCACACCCGGGGTGGGGACACAAGGGTTGCAGGAGAGGGGAGCGGGAGCGGCCGCCACTGGGCCACACAACCGCAGGGACACCTCCCACAAGAGACACGTCCAGCCACACCAGCAGAGAAGCACCGGGGGGCGCCACCCCCCCGGCTGGGCCCGGCCGCCACCGTTCGCCTACCCTGTGATGAACCTCGGGGAGCAGGCGGGGGACGGCGCCGGTGGGGCACACCCGGGGCGGGGATGCTGATAAGATACGGTGGGGATGGAGGGTAAGGTCGCAACCAGGCCACACAATCCAGACTAGCCCATAGATCAGCTACACGCTCTAAACATGTGACAAGGAGGGCACGGACACGTAAGCGACCACCCGAGGGAGCACACCCAGATTGATTAAAACGAATCCAGAGACACGAGTGCCCTCGCCCTGACCCCGGATGAGGGTGCCCCCAAACCCAGAGAGTAAAGGAACAAGGGACGAGTTTGCTCACGCTAGATAAGCAACCCAACGGAGGGAGAGGGGAGCGAGGGGGGAGGGGGTGGAAGCGCAGCCCTGCACCATGGTAGAAATGTCAACTGCTTGTTATCACCTGTTGTGAATTTAATCTATATGTTATTGTTACGGTTTATGCCTTACTACGGTACCTTGAACAGACATGCTGTGCAACACACACACCGGCTCTCGAGCCAACACACCCCGAGGCGGGGAAGACCATCACATCCCATTGAGGTAGCATCCGGGAGCCAAAAAGGGGTGACATGGGACCCGACTGGCGGTACGGAAGACCGACACCGATATACCCTACCACTGCCCAGTAGGAGAGACGTCACTCAGACGGTGAGTCACTCACGGGAGCCACTGGTGGCACCGTGGATTGAAACTCCCCGACGTCTACACCTAACGGTCCCGAGACCAGAACACACCCACTGGAGATCACAGGACATCTCCACGAATCCCACGATACCTTATCCCTCTCTCTACCCCACCTCGAACCCTGACACCTTGTCCTCACACTGACCACGACGAACAGGCCACACCTGGTACACACACACAGCAGGGACTTGGACAACGACACCGATACAGCACCACCCAACAGCCGACTGACCAAACGACATGACACTGACTCCCGCCCCGCTGCATATTCTCACGATCAATGCCAAAGGCCTGAACAAACCAGAGAAGAGATCAGGAGCACTGAGAGACTTTCATAAACAAAGGGCCTCGATAGTCATGTTGCAGGAAACACACTTTCAGAAAGGGGCCAGACCCAAACTAACAAACCAACACTACACACAAGGATTCTACAGTGACTACCACGGGGGGAAAGCTAGGGGAGCAGCAATACTTTTCCATAAGAGGGTGCCGTTCCAGGAGGGGGGCTGCTTGTCGGACGATGAAGGCAGGTACCTATTCCTCAAGGGGGAAATAGCAGGCCGTCAGTACACGTTCGCAACTATATACGCCCCAAACACACGACACTACCGCTTCCTCAAACAAACACTCCACAAGCTCCAGGCGTTCAAAGAAGGGACTCTCATACTGGGGGGGGACTTTAATGTCGCATTAGAACCGTCATGGGACACCTCAACGGGCACCTCGCATATCCCCAACCAACAACTGCAAGGCATCAAATCCCTACTCCGGGACCACCGACTGGTCGACTGCTGGAGGGCCCACCACCCAGACGCCCGAGACTTCACTTTCTATTCCCACCCGCACAACTCATACTCCCGCATCGACCACATATACACCTCACACTACGACCTTTCATTGGTAACTGACGTCGAGATCGGAACAGCCACATGGTCGGACCATGCCCCTGTCTCCCTCAAAATAAAGTCACCACTATTTCGCCCCACATCTCCGAAATGGAGACTCAATGAATACCTACTCTCCCACCCGGGAGTCACGACCCGTATAGGCGATAAAATCAGAGAATACCTTGCCACCAACACGACGGAGCAGACATCGCCGACGATACGCTGGGAGGCACACAAAAGTGTGATAAGAGGTCACTACATCCAACAGGGGGCAATACTAAAAAAACAAACCGAAGCCCGACTGACCGCCCTATTAGATGACATATACAAAACGGATGAACAAAACAAACGCGACCCAGACCACACACACCAGACCCGACTCCTACAACTGCGAAGGGACCTAGCGACCATACTGCATTCCAAACACCACAGGGAGGCACTTAGAAATAAGGCATTCTTTACCCTACATGGGAACAAGAGCGGTAAGCTCCTTGCTACGATGCTGAGGAAACAGAGACAGCACACATACATCGACAAGATCAGAGACAAACAGGGGACCCTACACCGACTCCCGACTGATATCATGAGAGCGATCCGTACATACTACACTGAGCTATACGAACTCCCACAACCGACAACCGAACTGGCTAAGGCACACCTTCGCCACTCGATTCAGGAATACCTGACTAAATACCCGATACCGACCCTAGACGTAGAAGTCGCTGACCTGGTTGACGAACCCATAACCGTTGAGGAATTAGCGCGAGCAGTCAAACTCACTAAACCGGGCAAAAGCCCGGGATCGGACGGCTTACCGGTAAAATATTATAAGACTTTCGCCGAGGATCTCTACCCACCCATGGTGGAAGCATTTAACGCGATACGAGAAGGAGACCACATCCCTACCCAAGCCCTGACAGCCCATATTACCATCATACCCAAGGACGGCAAAGACAGAGAGCATTGCGGGAATTACAGACCAATATCGCTAATCAACTGCGACATTAAGCTACTAGCCAAGATCCTGGCGGTGCGCCTCACCAAACATATCCCGTCTCTGGTCCACCCCGACCAGGTGGGATTTGTGACAGGACGTGAGGCACGCGACAACACCATCAGAGCGCTCACACTTATGCACGGAGGTGGGGGCACGGACGGAGGCCTCCTCTTGTTGTCCACGGACGCAGAGAAGGCCTTCGATAGAGTGAGCTGGGACTACCTCTTCGAGACGCTATCCCACATGGGGCTGGGTCCCCACATTCGACGCTGGATAGAGGCGCTATACCGAGCACCGACGGCCCAGGTATTAGTTAACGGGGCGCTGACTGAGACCTTTACCATACACAACGGCACGCGACAGGGATGTCCCCTCTCGCCGCTACTGTTCGCTCTCGCCCTGGAACCATTCCTCACACACATCCGCCACAACCCAGACATAACGGGCCGGACGACAGGCCAAATACACCACAAGGTAGCGGCGTACGCGGATGACTTACTTTTCGTGGTGACCAACCCCGAGATCACCCTCCCAAACATCCAGAAAGACCTGCGGACATTTGGCGCTATATCTAACCTTAAAATTAACTACGGCAAATCCTACATCCTTAATGTTAGCGTCCCCGCCACACGCGCGGACCCGCTACGACGCAGCTTCCCCTTTCAATGGGCCGAACAAAAAATTAGATACTTAGGGGTATGGCTGACCAAGCAGAGCAGAGACCTGTATAGGGACAACTTCGCCTCTATACTACACACGTTCCAACGAGACTTGAGGGAATGGTCCTACCCGCACATATCGTGGCTCGGGAGAGTGCAGGTCATAAAAATGAACTTCCTTCCGCGCCTCTTATACCTCTTCCAGGCCATCCCCACTGTCATACCAGGCCCCTTCTTTAACACACTCAGAAAAGAAATGATAAAATACGTATGGAACGGGAGGAGGCCCAGAGTGAAATATTCCACACTGACACGTCCTAAAGACAAAGGGGGACTAGCCCTCCCAGACTTCCACCAGTACTACGTAGCCACACACCTGCAGAGAATCATGGAGTGGTCTAAAGACGGAGTTCACAAACTATGGAAGACAGTGGAAGAGGCAGAAGCAGGCAGACCGATCTCGGGGCTTCCCTGGGGCCGAGACACAACCGATAGAGGTGACATGTCCATATACACGAGACACACTATGAGAGTTTGGAGGAAGGCCGCAAAGAAAGGGAATATGGCACCGTACCCCTCCCCCCTCCTGCCCCTGACACACAACGAGGACTTCCCGCCGGGTCTGGACCCTGGAACCCTCAAACACATCTTCCCAGACAGAACCCCACGCCTACACCACTTCCTCCAAGGTGGGAAATGTAAAACACTAACGGACTTGATGGGAGAGACGCCCCCGACCTTTATGCACCGCTTCCGACATGCCCAACTGACCAATTACATCCACTCCCTGCCGCAGGGACCAGCACTGGCCAGAGACCAGACCACGATAGAAGTGGTCAGCTCACACCCAGACCCGCTCCCGCATGGAGTGTCCTTCTTATATTCCATGCTCCAATCAGAAACCCCGTCCGAGACACCGCTATTCATGGGAAAATGGGAAACAGCCCTGGGTAACACACTAACGGAAGCAGAATGGGAAACCATCTGCTACCTTACACACCACTGTTCCACTCACAGCAAAACACAGGAAACGGCCTACAAGCTTCTAACACATTGGTATAGGACACCACATCTCCTTCACCACGTAAACCCAGAACACTCCAGACTCTGCTGGAGATGTGAACGAGAGGTGGGTACCACAAAACACATCTGGTGGGATTGCGCGTTGATCCAACCATACTGGAAGAGGATACACAAAATGCTAGAGAAGTTCGCGGACGCACCCCCCCCCCCCTGGAACCGGCAGCGATGCTCCTACACCACACAACAGTTCCCCGATCCAAATACAAAAAATCCATGACCATTAGAATACTTAACGTGGCCAAACGAGTGCTCCCCCAATTCTGGAAACAAACACTTACACCTCCACTCTCGACCTGGTTTAGCCAAATGGAAGAACTAAGGTCGATAGAGGAACTGACCATGACGGCCAACACTACACCCACTACCTACATGAGCATCTGGACGCACTGGATTCTAGAGACGGCAAAAGAAGAGTTCCAATTAAAACTCAGGCCTAACATTAACGGGAACCACGACACAGACAGATAGTACTCAGAACACACACCCCAGACGATGCTAGATGGTCGACAGACGAATTGGACGGAACTACCCCCCCCTTCTTCCTTTCTTCCCACCCAGACACATTCCCCCCCCTCTTGCCCCCTGCGAAATACCAGAGCATCATCATTGACTGAATCATCCCCTCCGCACCCATAGCGACAAGGGAAAACATAATTGGGAACGATCAACAAACACGAGCTAGTACTTACATCCAGACCGGCCCGGGAAGACACCCCAAAGCCAAAACATGCGAACACCTGAGGGAACCCTGGACAGGCCCAGCAATGACACGGCTAATGCAGTATCCACACGCCCAAGGTAAGGGTACCCTTTCCCCGCAATACCACCATTCCCCTGGTTAAACACGTGAAACACCGATAGTAATAACAGGGGTAAACACAAGCCCACCACGGACGATGACACATAGCTAAGAACACAGGGCCCGATGAGACGCCGTGGACAGGGACCATAGGGGTGGCCTACAAACACTGACACCTAATCAAAGACTGATTAATCTGGTTCAAGGAAGATTACAAAGCATTATGTTCACTCAGTTCATGTAAACGTTACTTAATTTACATTCCCAAACAAATGTAAATACCAGAAAATGGGGACCTGCGAGTCCTTCTGTGATGGGGCCTGCGAGCCTAATTTGTTACCTTTTATAATAACATGCAATGGAGACCTGCGCGTCTCACCGCAAATTTAAATACGCAAAATTAATAAAAATCATATTCACAAGAGTGCTCTGTCAGGCAAGGAATACATTTCTCAAAATTTGTGTGGGCATTAGGTCGCTTCCCATTTATTAATATTAGAGCCCTCACCCACGTGTGGGAGCTTGGCTGGGGCATTGCCTCATTTATTAATAATAGAGCCCCCATGCTCCACTAATGGGTAACGGTGGGGAGACAAAAGGTGGAAGTGAATCACCAAAGCCTTTATTTTCAATGTAAAATATTAATTTTTAGGCTTTGGTTTCATTATGCGAAACAATATTTTTCTGTTTTCGATAAGCTTTTAACAGTTTTAAATCAATCTGAACTGTTAAATGGCTCCTCGGGAGCAGAAAAACTGCTGATAACACCTATTGGCTAATTTTTTTATTTTTTTAAATTCAAATTTTTTTCATTGACAGAAAGTACATTGTATCAACAGTAGTACGGCTTTTGCAAAAGCCAAAGCATGGATCAGGTAGATTTGGCTGAGATGTATTGTGGCTAATACGCATTCTGTCAAGGTTTTAGACCTTTTGTCTTACCAAGAAAAAGACATGCATCCGTGTCTGTGTGCACCGCTTTTTGGCTCTCAGAATCGAACCATCCAGTGTCTCCATCCCCTTGGCTCCCACGAGTCCCCACTGGGCCCCTAGCCAAGGCTCCTTTCTTGGCACCAGAGGGGCCATGACCACCGGCCGGGGCGCTCCAGCGGCGTCCCCGGTTGGATTCATGCCATGGCAGTATCTGCCTTTGGATTGCCCCTCAATGGGACTCTGGGTCTCAAAGCTACGTCATTGCACGCCATTCACGCACCGTTTAGCCTATTTTGCTATGCTTGAGGGGTAATTTAGAGGACGCTCCGATACAAGAAGAAGATGAGATAGGAGTAAGTACAGGATAGAAAAGGAAAAATGGAAAAAGAGGTTGCCACCTCGATGCCCGCCACTCAACCCCCACTCATGGTGAGGTTTCTTTATACTCCAACCAGGGTGCTCATGTTTTGGAGAAGGCTGGCACCATGCGCTTCACTCTCACTGCTAGGTCGTCCATTATGTAGTTGTCATCTATTTTTATAACCACATCTCTCAAAGGAATTGTCTGTTGCATAGGATCGGCGTCATTTGGGGACTGAGGTCTGGTCAGGGAGTATTTTCTGCGTAACAGATCCCAGATGTCTAGGGAGTTTAGGATCTATGGCATTCTGTGAGGATAAGGGCCCTACAGGGTCTGTCTATCCACATGTACATTTCAGGGTTATCATATTTCAGCAAACCTGCTTCAATGTCTGCCCATCTGTGTTCACCCGGTGGGGCATGCCAAAGTACTATTTGAGCCTGTTGGGCTGCATAATAGTATAGCAAGATATGCGGAAGTCCCAGCAAACCCCCTTCCCCCCCCCATTTTTGGGTTTGTATAGTACGTTCCTAGCCAGTCTGTGTCTTGTTTTGTGCCATATGAAGGAGTCTATCGGTTTACCCTTATAGTTAATTCTTGAAAACGGAATAAGATTTTGGGCAGGACATTCATTTTAATGCTGTGCACTCTACCTATCCAAGATATCAGTCTATCCTGCCATTGTTCTATTTCCATCTGTAAGGTTTTTACTAGTGGTCGGTAGTACGTCGAATATATCTGTGCGTGAGAAATACACAATAGAAGGAAAAAGGGCGCTATACACAAAATACTACAACTGGTGCAGCTTAAAAACACCTCTGTGTACAGTCACTTATTACACCAAATGAAAGATTTAGTGAACAGAAAAAAAAGGTGAAAGCGCCCAAACAGTGGAATAGTTTACCTTTAAAATCTTGTATAGGTCCTATTTTCAGCAACAGACAGTAACTGTGGACCCTATATATAATATATACAAGAAAACAACATAGTGTATACTGTTGAAACCTATTTACAATATGTGGAGAATAAAAAAAGGTTCGCTCACACTTTCCAGAGCCACATAAGCTAGGCTCTGGACTGTAAAGGTATTTCATCCACCAAGGGATACACTGGATCTGATCCTCCTCTTAGATGTTTGTAATAAGTTTCTCCACATATTGTAAATAGGTTTCAACAGTATACACTATGTTGTTTTCTTGTATATATTATATATAGGGTCCACAGTTACTGTCTGTCTGTTGCTGAAAATAGGACCTATACAAGATTTTAAAGGTAAAATATTCCACTGTTTGTGCGCTTTCACCCTTTTTTTTCTGTTCACTATATCTGCGTGTGCCTAGAGAGATATCAGCTATGCCTCACTGATGATGCCTAACAAGGCTGAAACGATCGTCTGGGGTTGCTGTATCTCTCGTGCAGAGAGAACTTGCTAGCATTTCAGATCTGGACTGCCCGTATGGGTGGGACCAGTCTGATGTGCTTCAGATATGTTCTCTCTGTAATGGCACAAGATGAGCTAAAACCAGCTTGAGTTCTGAGCGGGGACCCACCGAAGGGCAGGCTATTTTAGCTGCTGTTCGTTCTCAGAATACTCTTGCGACCTGTTTTTTTGCTCTCCATTAGTTTAAAGGGTAATCCAGACGTGGACCCCTTGCTCAAGGTGCCTAGAGAGATATCAGCTATGCCTCACTGATGATGCCTAACAAGGCTGAAACGATTGTCTGGGGTTGCTGTATCTCTCGTGCAGAGAGAACTTGCTGGCATTTCGGATCTGGACTGCCCGTATGGGTGGGACCTGTCTGATATGCTTCAGATATGTTCGCTCAAGAATGGCACAAGATGACCTAAAACCAGCTTGAGTTCTGAGCAGGGACCCACCGAAGGGCAGGCTATTTTAGCTGCTGTCCGTTCTCAGAATACTCTTGCGACCCGTTTTTTGCTCTCCATATCTGTGTGTGAGGCTGGCGTGTGATTCCCAGGTATTCGAAGAATGTGGTGAGTTTTATGTTGTATCCTGATTGAAGCGCTGTGTGATCTGCGTGGAACGGAATGACTGAGAATTTATCGTAATTTTGTAGCCAGAGTGTTCTCCGTAAGTGGAGGGTATCTCCATTAGGGTTGGTAGTGATCAAGAGGGGTTTTGTATTGTAACCAGGACATCATCGGCGTATGCGGCCGCTTTGTAGCTCCCCCCCCATTCTTATGCCTTGTATTGCTTTGTTCTTCCGTATTAGGTGGAGCATAGGCTCTAGGTAGAGATCGAACAGAACCGGCGATAGCGGGCCCCCTTTGTATATATTGAAAGGTGATCCATGCACCCCACTGATTGTCATGATAAAGGGTATGGGGAATCCCCAGTGGCCCAAAAGTCCGAAGAGGTAGTGCCACCGGACCCTGTTAAACGCCTTCTCCGCGTCCAATGATAGGATCAGAGAAGGCGTCCGACCCTCATCTGCATGCCAGACGAGGTCAACTGCTCTTCTGGTGTTTTCATATAGTTGTCGACAGGGCATAAAGTCCACCTGGTCCGCATGGATTAAATGGGGGAGCATGGTCATCAGCCTCTCTGCGAGAATCTTTGCTTTCATGTCAGTGTTAATGAGGTAAACCAGTCTGTAGTTTCCCACCACCGTTGGGTCCCTATCGTCTTTGGGGAGTAGCACTATATTGGCCATGGTCATGTCCTGGATCACTGATCTCATCTCCCGGCCTCTCTGAACACCTGCTAGAGGTGAGGTATAAGTAAGTTACCAAAGGTTTTGTAGTAACCGCCACTGAACCCGTGTGGCCCCTTGCGCCCGAGACCAGGGTGTACCGTCCCTCTCCGTCCGTTAGTGTGTTAGTCACCTGTAGTTGACAATTCTTGTGGAGTAGCATTGCTACCCCATTGTGTTTGCTTGTAGCCGGTGATGTGTATATCCTATCAAAGTGCCTGTCTCTCAGTAGGGTGTTGTGTGCTCTATTGAGATGTGTTTCCTGTAAAAACGCTATGTCTGCATGCATGCGTTTGAGGTCCCTAAACAAGAGCCTCTTTCTCACCCCTAGGAAGGTCTGCCCATCGGCTCTCCTTTTTCCCTTTGGGATTCCCCCGGGCATAGGGGCAAGTACTTTTACTATCTATCTTGCCCAACTAGATATACGTCTGGCGTCCTGCGCGTCGGTCGCTGTTTCTCCTACCTCATTCCCTTACACCTAGGATGCCTCTGCTAAGCTCTTGTCCCTTCCTCTAGCTGTCATGTCAGTGCTACGCTTTGCAGGACCTCTGCAGATCCTTTCTGGGCCATGTGGTTTGTGGTTGCAAACTCGCTGTAGGCCACCCCACCCGCCAAGTGTATATCCAGAGTCATGTAGTTAATCCGTTGTGAAAAAAAATAAACTAATTTATTTCAGTTGAGAAAACTACAATTCATGCAACAGAGACCCGCTTCCAGACAGCTTATTTTCTGATACCTTATGACACATCTGTAAACTTTCACCAGTAAAACCGGGAATTTAAGATAAAACCATATCTAAACGAATACATCATATATTGACTTTAAAAGCAGTACAAGAAAGAAAAAACTTACACCGATCTTCAAAATGATTTGGAGGCTCTCTCAGTTCTACCCGTAGATCACTTGGAAATCGTTGATCACTCATCACCGGTCTTTGTTGAATAACGTGTCCATTGTTTTGAGGAGTATGATGTGGAATGACCCCCGGATGATGCATACTATCATGTGCCCTAAAGTCTCTGAAGAATAATAAATGTTACATTTTAATTTAGTTGTGCTTAGCCACAGCCTTAAAGATCATGATAATAATTAATGAAAATATTTTGGCAGGTGGGGGACATAGCAAGGTTTATAGCATCCCTTATTATATGAGGTTTACTGACCCCGGTAGGCTATTTATTTATTTATTTATTTTAACTTTTTTAATGTACCAGCTGTCTAACAAAATGCTTGCCATATGCCACATGGTTAAAATCGCAGCACCAAGAGGGCAAATAGTTTGGATTTTTTTTTTAAATCCATGCCCAGAATTGAAGTTGTCCTGTCTGGATTTTGGCCATCCAGCATCATTCAGTCTGGCTGAAATCCAGACCTAATTCAGGCTCACATGCAGGGCTGCCATCTGGGGGTGACAACCATAACGGTCGATTATCGCTATATATATGTGCAACTGCGGGCCACCAGCTCCCTGTTACAGCAGAGGGGCCCAGCACAAGTGTCTGTACATTACAGCTCCTCTCTAACTCTCGCAAGACGTGCACCTGTCAGAGCGTTGGCACGGTTTCCAATGGCAAAGCTACATGCGGCACTCAAGCAAAGCACGCAAGAGTTAATGAGATCAAGGAGCTGTAATGTACAGACGCAGTGTGCGAACACACACACTCTACATTCACTACACTAACCCACACTCTGCATCCACTACACTAACACGCACTCTGCATCCACTACACTAACACACTCTCTGTATCCACTACATTAACACACAATCTGCATTTACTATACTAACACAGACTTTGCATCCACTACACTAACACACACTCTGTATCCACTACATTAACACACAATCTGCATTCACTACAATAACATGCACTCAGCATCCACTACACTAACACAGACTCTGCATTCACTACACTAACACATACTCTGCCTTCACTACACTTACACACTCTGCATCCACTACTACACTAACACACACTCTGCATTCACTACACTAATACACAATCTGCATTCACTACACTAACACAGACTCTGCATTCACTACGCTAACAGAACATATACTACACACACTCTGCATTCACTATCCACACACTACATCCACTACACACACACTGCATTCACTATCACAGCATCCACTATACACACACTCTGCATTCATTACACACACACTGCATCCACAGCCCTAACACAAACTCTGCATTTACTATACACTCCGAATCCACTACACAAACACACACTCTGCATCCACTACAGTAACACACACTCTGCATCCACTATACACACACTACATCCACTACACACACACTGCATTCACTATCACAGCATCCACTATACACACACTCTGCATTCATTACACACACACTGCATCCACAGCCCTAACACAAACTCTGCATTTACTATACACTCCAAATCCACTACAGTAACACACACTCTGCATCCACTATACACACTCTGCATTCACTATACACAGACACTGCGTCTAATACACACACACTACATCCACTACACAAACACACACTCTGCGTTTACTATACACACTGCATCCACTACAAAAACCCACATTCTGCTTTAGCTGCACACACTGTATCTAATACACATACACATTACATCCATTACACATGCTCTCTGCATCTATTACACACATTCTAATTCTGCATCCACTATACACACACCACATTCAGTCTTGCATCATTGGGGCGGACTCAGGAAGAGCCATGTGCACAGACTTGTGGGCGGGTTCCCGGTGACCCAGACCTTGAGCTTTGTCGGGGGCCCCAACATTTCTGATGGCAGCCCTACTCACGTGGAGTCTGAATTGCAAATTCCAGACAGAAAATATTTCCTATTAACTGCAATAAACTACCTTGTACATACCGCATATTTGGGAGGTGACATGGCCTACAGACATTCTGTGGTTGCATAGGGGGATGAACCCATTGCTGGCGAGACACCCTGTCTAAGAGATATGAAAATACAGTAATTAGTCCAGATGTCCAAATATTAGAAAAAATACAGAGTAGTAAAAGTGCTAAAAGGCATTCAAAAAGAGAGAAAAATGGGAAAAATCCACTCTTTAGAAAGTGATCGTATAAATGTATTAATATTACTCTATAATAAAATCATATAAAGAATGCAGCTACACACTCAGGTGCTGGAGCCCCCAAAAGGTGATCAGCACAAAATAGAGAGCAATTATAGATACAAAGTATAAGTGGAGTGCGTAGGTAGATAGTGATCTTAAATCAGATAGTGCATATAAAGTGCAGATGTACATATGAATATTTAATATTTCTCATGAGGATTTTTATGGGTAGTCATGTACACAGAGAAAAAGAGAAAGTCAAAAAAATAGATAATAGTATAGTCTGTACGACAAGCTTGTGGATCTATAATAAGATAACAATTTATTGTACAAAATAAACAAATGAAACCATTAATATTGCAGCTGCTTACAAGATAAAAAAGAAAGTGAGTATGTGCGGTTTTAGATACCGCTACTCACACAAGGTGGTATGGCAAATAGCCAAATGCAGGGAGATGTCTTTCACACTGCCAGCCCGGTCCCAGCGTATGTAAGGGATACTGGAGACTAGATGTTGGTGTACCAGTCCTTCTCTGTTCCTTGATCGGAAAGTTGGTGGGATTGAAGATCTGATCTGATTTGAGATCACTATCTACCTATGCGCTCCACTTATACTTTGTATCTATAGATGTCCAAATATAACAAATTTAATAGGGACACAAATGTTACTTGTTATATGTTCCTTGTTAATTTTAGTAGAATGTACAAAAAGTTGAGTTAACCCACCACCAATATACTCCCTGCATCATACCCCCAATCCAGAATGATGTCTAATTGCACACTTCTCATATTGATAATTATACTTTTGTTATCAAATTTATTCTCTTTTAGATAAACTACAAAAAATTGCTGTGTATTGGAGAAATAGTTTATGGAGAAGGACCAAGTTTATGTTACTGACAAACTGAACAATCAAAGTGTGTGTGTGTGTGTTAGTGTTAGTGTGTTAGAGAGTGTGTGTGTGTGTGTGTGTTAGTGTGTGTATGTTAGTGTTAGAGTGTGTGTTTTGTAAGTGAGTGAGTGTGTCTGTCTGTCAGTGAGTGTGTGTCTGTCAGTAAATGTGTGTGTCTGTTAGCTAGTGTGTATGCGTCTGTTCATGAGAGTATGTGTGTGTGTCTTAAGCACTTACCTTTCTCCAGCGCCGGACTCCCTTGGCGCTGGGGATCTCCCCGATCCGCCTCTCAGCTCCGAATGCGCATGCGTGGCAAGAGCTGCGCGCGCATTCAAACTGCCCGTAGGAGAGCATTACTCAATGCTTCCCTATGGACGTTCAGCGTCTTCTCACTGTGATTTAATCCCACCTTTAGACAGCCGCTAGATGGTGCATCTGTGTTCTTAGAGCACCAAAAGTGTTTTAAATGACGTTCAACGTCACCACGCTCTGCATGAGGACGTCGAGCGTCGCCGGAATCCCCATAGGAAAATATTGTATAATGCTTTCCTATGGGGAGGTCTAATGCGTGCGCACAGCCATTGCCGCGCATACACATTAGGTCTCCCCCACCAGCAGCCGGCAGTGGGGGAGTAGAGTGGACGGAGCTGAGCCAGCGCCGAAGGACATCAGCGCTTGACCCAGATAAGTGACTGAATGGGTTATTAACCCCGTCAGCGCCGAGGGAGGGGGCCTTGACAGAAGGGGAAGATATAGTGCCATGAAAACGTGTTTGTTTTTGCTGTTGATCCAAAAGAAGGCAAAAAACACAGTCTGAAGTGCTTCTAATTTTGCAACAAACTAGGGAAAAATTCCTTCTTGACCACAAAATGGCAGTCAGATATCTCCTTGGATCATGCAGCTATTACCCCACTTATTAGAAATTATATCCCTGTATGTTATGTTTTTGGAAGTGTTTCATGAAATGAATTTAAAATTTTAGGCCACAGTGGCTGAACTTAAAATATCGATCACTTGGAGAATATTCTCTAGTCAACAACTTTGGCTAAAAATTTGAATTTGCTTTAAATTCCAAACAAAACACACTCTGGTAAATAACCCAAACTGTTAAATGGATACTATAGGCACCAAAACACCTTTAGCTTAGTGGCGCAGTTTTTGTGTGTAGATCATGCATTCTCCTGCATTCTCACTGCTCGTTTCTCTGCCATTTAGAAGTTAAATTACTTTGTTTATACAGCCTTAGCCACACATTCCTATATGTGACGTACACAGCCTTTCTAAACTTACTTTTTACACATTCTGTTTAATTTAGAATTTCTTATCTACTGTTCTGTTAATAATCGCCCTCTAGAATCTGCAGGAGCATCCTGTGTGATTCAAGTTCAATTTGCAGAGCAGGATATTAAAACATCTAAAGTAATTTCTGATTGAGAGTGAAACCATATTTTTTATGCATTCTGTGTGAGTCACAGCCAGGGGAGGTGTGACTAGGGCTGCATAAACAGAAACATAAATGACTTAAAGACTAAATGGCAGAGAACAGAGCAGTGAGACTACAGGGGCATTATCTATACACTATGACTGCTTCATTAAGCTAAAGTTGTTTTGGTGACTATAGTTCCCCTTTAAGTTTAGCAATGCCTTCTCCATTAGTACACAATGGTAGATGTAGATGGAATTTTTCTAGTTGATGTATTTATGTCTTTTTGCAATCTAATTAGCTGCTTAGCTATATTACTGATTACGGGTTTTATATATGTATAGCAAGTGGATGTTGACTTACCTGTCATACAGTTCCTGGGATTAAAAGGCCCAAAATCCTCCATGTTCCTTTCTGACATGAGCGAGTCTGGTGGTTCCAGGTTTTCAAGACCCATTACATCATTAACCTGGGAGGTATACCCAGTGTCTTTGCTAGATGGATATTTCTGCTGTTTGTTAGCCATGTTATGATGGGAAGGAACTGACTGTGCAGTAGCACCGTTGTAGACATTCACTGAATTGTTTCCGGTGTCATAGTCTTCAGAAAAGAGTTTGTCTGGGTATTGGGACTCATCATTCTCCTCTGGCAAGCTATTGTTCATCCTAAAATAGCAAGTTGAAAAAAAAAACAACAACATTCAGAGAGAAACATGAGCAGTTCCAGTAAAACCAACCAAGGCAGTACTAAAAAGAAAACTAATAATAAACAAACCAGATTTTTTTAACCAGAAAGGATACATTGAATTTTTGCGCTCTATCCACGGGTCTGAATTTTATCAAGCCATATCCTGTGCTAATGAAGTTATCAAGCTTTTATGGTACTTATGTTATTATCTTCCAGAATATTGATATTATCATGCCCTGACCTAAGCTATAGATGTTATCACATGCTAAGGTATTGATATCACATCCTAGAGTATTGACGTTATCTCATCCTGATGCATTGATGGCATTGATCTTATCACATCCCAGGGTTTTAATGTAATCACATATACCTGTTATGACTCCAGCATCTTCAAGTCGAAGATGCACGCATCACTCTTACATAATTTTTGATGAGGACATTCTCATATGGGCAGACATTGAGCATCATTCTGACGTCAATAAAGACTATTTTGTTCTCTATACTGGAATCCTATACTCTATTCTGGAATCCTATACCTTGGCTTTGTTTTTCATTTATCCACATCTCTGCACTCCTTGACCTTGGCCTGTCCCTGTTTATCCTTTGTCTGGTTTCAGACTATATACTTATTCATGTTTAAGGACCACTCTAGGCACCCAGACCACTTCAGCTTAATGAAGTGGTCTGGGTGCCAGGTCCCTCTAGGATTAACCCTTTTTTTTAATAAACATAGCAGTTTCATAGAAACTGCTATGTTTATAAATGGGTTAATCCAGCCTCTAAAGGCTCTAGTGGCTGTCTCATTGACAGCCGCTAGAGGCGTTTGCGTGCTTCTCACTGAGAAAATCACAGTGAGAAGACGCCAGCGAAGAGGCGTAGAGGAGGAGGAGAGCTCCCCGCCCGGTGCTGGAATAAAGGTAAGTTTAACCTCTTTCCTTGCCATCCAGCCCGGCAGGAGGGGGTCCCTGAGGGTGGGGGCACCCTCAGGGCACTATAGTGCCAGGAAAACGAGTATGTCCTTTAAGGACTGATCATACATATTTTTTATGTAGCGTAGGACATCCTATGTCTCAGGATTGTGTGTTGAGGTGTATCTGACTTGACGCTAAATTACTTTATCACATGTTCAGGTATTGTTAAGCTAATCAGCGTCATGCAGGACCATGCCTACAGAGATTATTAGCTGAGCCAATGAGTGCGCTCCTGGATTGGCCGTGCCTACCTGCACAGAGACATCCAGCTTCTCCTAACCGGGGTACTCAGGTAAGTTGTCAAACAGTACTAAAACATTTGACACATTACCCTGGGATGGTGTCAAGACACTCCTAGGACCATAACTACTACAATGTCTGTAGTTATGGTTCTTGTAGTGTTACTTTAACAATAATAAAGATCCTAGTTTCTCACTATCACTGCCTGATAAAGGTGAATCATCTCTCCTGTCTCATATTTTATGTATAGTACCAACTTGTAGATCTGCAGACGTTGTAGTCAGCAAACGTGTCCAATCATTCTGTGCTTAGAATATTGCTGACAATTCACTATTTACTGATTAAATCTGATCATGCATTGTTAGATACAAATAGGCCATTCACTAAACTGAGAATTGTCAGAAATTAACCAGGATATTGCACATTTAAAACCAAAATAGGGGACATGACTTGGAAGCATAACTTGCAAAATTGCTCCTGTTAGGCAACTGTCCTGCTGATTTCTAGACAATTCACAGTTCAGTGAATAACCCTGGTAGTATTATAACAATCTGTAAAAAAAAAAATAAGTATTTCTGATAAATCATTTTGGTCTGTAAACAATAGTATTGCCATTAACCATAAGCACATGTACTTGATTTTGGAAATTGTTACATTGTTTGATAATGGGGGTCTTTTGTGCCTCTGGAAAAAGAGTTACTTGCAAACTTTCCCAAATTCCTATGCGTATTTAAATAACTGGAGGTTTTTAGCATCACTCCAATGGCCATTAGCTTGTAAGCCTATCTGCCACATCAAGGGTTAATAAGTATATAGGGATTTAGAAAAAATACCCCTCTCTGTCTCATTAGAGATTTTTTTTAGCAAGGTAAATTGTTAGTGTAGGACTCACCTAAGAGGCTTACCTTGATGTGGCAGATGAGCTTACAATCTAATGGCCATTAGAGTGATACTAATAACCTTAAGTTATTTAAATATGCACAAGTAACCCTTTTCTTTGGTTTTTGTTGTATGTATTGGGGCTGATGTGTACTATGGTCATTGTTGCCGCCCAGGAGTAGTGGGAGTCTGAGCGCAGGACTTGTTTTTGTGTATTTACCTTTCAAAGCCAAAATGTGTTATGTTACAGGGAGCTGGCTTTTAATGCAGGGAATACTAGCTCTTATTGGATGCTTGCCCAAATATCTTTCACAAGTTCTGTGAAAAAAAATGAAAGGTGTGTACAGACAGCAGCAGTTTTTAAATAAAGTTTTTTTTATGTATCTGTGTGTGCGGAGATCGTGTTCTAGATACACATTCAGGTACTCCTAATGCTGAATCTAGTGTGTGACGTACTGTTCAGATAGTTCTGATTTTATATAAACCACACATGCTAATTTACTATAACACCAAGAGGACACCAGAGCTATGGAGCTGTGACAACACCAATGCACATATTGTAGCTCGCATTACCTGGTATCTCCTTTAACCTACTTTTAAAATATGAGCTTGATATCCAGGTTAAAGGTCCACCACCAAAATTAAAGTGATCCACATGTTAGTTCAGTCCCCCAGTACTAACCTTGCTGTGGAGAGAAAAGTGCCCCAAATCAAGCAATGTTCCCAATCTGTGCTGATTCTGTGTGTGTACCAGACTCAAGGCTGGCTGGAGAAACAGGAAGAGAAACTAGTTTATAATATGCAAATATTATGTCAGTCTGTGTTCCCTCCCTTTCACAAGTGACATCATGTGAATTCTGGAGGATGGGCTGCTACAGGAAACATTGTGCTTACATTTACCTGTGTATTAAGACTAGGTATGAAACACACACCCACACACATATATCACATATACCAGATATTGTGGACTACGTCTCCCATAATGCTCTTACAGCCATAATGGTGGCAAAGCATCAGATGTTCACATATAATGTGATGGCAGATAAGAACCATTCGGCCCATCTAGTCTGCCCAATTTTCTAAATACTTTCATTAGTCCCTGGCCTTATCTTATAGTTAGGATAGCCGTATGCCTATCCCACGCATGCTTAAACTCCTTCACTGTGTTAACCTCTACCACTTCAGAGTTGTTAGAGTTATATGTTAGAGTTATACAGGGATTTAAACCACTTTTATATATAAACCTAAAGATACAAAGAAAAAATATGTAAGAAAAAATAATAGCATGCTCCACATCTAAATAACGGGGATACAGGAAAGATAAATTGATAGGGATAGCTGTGTAGATGGATAATATATATAAATGGGTAGGTCAGATATAAAGCTTAAATAATGGATATCGTTGGAGTTAAATACACCCTTTAAAGTACAGGGTTATAAGATCCAGTCCACATACACTTATAATGACTTATTCCCACTTTATATATCTCAGTAATTATCCCTCTGAACACAGAACGCTATCTGATAAATTTGATGTAATGTTCAGCATAAAAGATATAAGTTAACAACTTGTTCTTTATAGGTGCACATTAGTGTTGATACAATGTATCCACACACCCAATGGAATCTTGCCCAGAATGTCTCCAATGAAACAAATGAAAGAAAGAGTATATGTTTTTCTGCAGAACAACTCCTTGAACATGGGACTCTATATCAAATGCTGTATAGTCCTCAGCAGTGAGCATCCTAATTGCCAGTAAGATGCGAAATCTGTGCTAACAGGATCAAAGCTCTGAGTAGACAAGTATTAACGGCCATCTCCTTAGAAAGTCCCCAAATATAATATGCCAGGTCAACCATCCTCACCCTCTCCCTCACACCCTAAGTGATAAAGGCATTAAGTGCCGTGCTATTGAAAAAACGAAATCACCACGAAAAACCTAACGTGTTTCGGCGCTATTGAAGCGCCTTTATCAAAGGCAGTAAATGAATGTGCTGAGCTGTACGGTCATTTGTATGTGTGGATTCAGCTCGCTGGGCCAATCAAAGATGAGGGCGCGTTGAAACTTGTGTCCATCAAGTTCAGCTTTCCTCACATTTGTTTTTTGCTGTTGATCCAAAAGAAGGCAAAAAACCCAATTTTGCAACAAGCCAGGAAAAAATTCCTTCTTGACCCCAGAATGGCAGTCAGATTTATCCTTGGATCAAGCAGTTATTACCCTACATTGAAAGATTATATCCTTGAATATTCTGTTTTTGCAAGTATGCATCTAGTAGCTGTTTGAACATCTGTATGGACTCTGATAAAGCCTGATAAAAAGGACTCTTTAGGCAGAGAATTCCACATCCTTATTGTTCTTACAGTAAAAAAACCTTTCCTTTGCCTTAGACCAGGGCTTCCCAAACTTTTATGGGCCGAGACCCACTTTTGAAAATGGTAATTTTTTGAGACCCACTTGCTTTTAATGCATATTTTAAAAATGAATAAACTTGGCACATCATGACAGCTTTAAAGGCATAAAACTGGCACATCATGGCAATCAGTTATAGAGGCATACAATTGGCACAACATGGAATTCATCTTTAAAAGCATAAAATTGGCACACCATGACAATCAGCTTTAGAGGCATAACATTGGCATACCATGGCAATCCTTTTTAGATGCATCAAATTGCCACATCATGGCAATCGGCTTTAGATGCATAAAATTGGCATATGGCAGCTTTAGAGGCATTAAATTGGCACATAATGGAAATCAGCTTTAAAAGCATACAATTGGCACACCATGACAATCCGCTTTAGAAGCATAAACTAGGCACACTATGGCAATCAGTTTTTGATGCATAAACTTGCCACATCATGGCAATCAGCTTTAGATGCATATAATTGGCACACCAGGACAATCCGCTTTAGATGCATAAAAATGGCACACCATGGCAATCAGCGTTAGAAGCATAAACTAGGCACACCATGGCAATCAGTTTTAGATCATAAAATTGTCACATCATGGCAATCCGCTTTAGATGCATACAATTGGCACACCGTGGCAATCAGCTTTAGATGCATACAATTGGCACACCATGACAATCAGCTTTAGATACATAGATTTAGCACACCATGGCAATCAGGTTTACAAGCATAAACTAGGCACATCATGGCAATCAGCTTTAGGGGCATACACTTGGCACACTATGGAAATCAGTTTTAGATGCATAAAAGTGGCACACCATGGCAATCAGTTTTAGAGGCATACAATTGGCACACCATGGCAATCCGCTTTAGATGCATACAATTGGTACACCATGACAATCCGCTTTAGATGCATAAAATTGGCACACCATGGCAATCAGCTTTAGAAGCATAAACTAGGCACATCATGGCAATCTGCTTTAGGGGCATACACTTGGCACACTAAGGAAATCAGTTTTAGATGCATAAAAGTGGCACACCATCGCAGTTTTAGAGGCATACAATTGGCACACCATAGCAATCCGCTTTAGATGGATACAATGGACACACCATGGCATTCAGCTTTAGATGCATAAACTTGACTCATGGCAATCAGTTTTAGATGCATAAACCTGGCATATCATGGCATATCGTTTTGGTATATCATGGCAGTTTTAGAGGCAGAAAGTTGGCATATGGCATTTTTAGAGGCATAATTCTGGGATTTGGCGGTTCTAGAGGCTTAATTTTGGCATATCATGGCAATCTGTTTTAGAGGCATACAACTAGTTACCTACAGACTCAGGCAGAATCAGAAGCGCTGTGTCCCTCTCTTTTCATCCAGACATCTCACGTTGAGTATCCCAGTGGTAGATCCCCATCTGTCGGAGAACTCCAACAATGCTATGCCAGCTGAGGATCTACCATTTGCCCACCATTGCAGGGTTGTATTTGTGAGCAGTGTTTGAGCGTTTGAATGTAAGCATGTTTTTGTATGAAGTGTATGTGTTGATGTATGGGTGTATTTGTATGTACTGTTGACATTGGAATGTAGTGGTGTACTTGTGTGTAGTGCTTGCGTCTGATGCAAGGGTATTTGTATGTAGTGATGCATTTTAAATACAGATGTGCTTTAATGTGTAGTGTTGGTGTTTGAATGAAGGGCTGTTTATATATAATTTTAAGGTGACAGTGGGGGGGATGAGGGTGACAGTGTGGGAGGGGATGAGGGTGACAGTGGGGGGATGAGAGTGACCGTGTGGGAGGGGATGAGGGTGACAGTGTGGGAGGGGATGAGGGTGACAGTGGGGGGTGAGGGTGACAGTGTGGAGGGGATGAAGGTGATAGTGATGAGGGTGACACAATGTGGGGGATGAGGGTGACAGTGACAAATGTGGGGGATGAGGGTGACAGTGTGGGGGATGAGGGTGACAGTGTGGGGAGGGGATGAGGGGGACAGTGACAGTGTGGGAGGGGATGAGGGGTGACAGTAGGGGGATGAGGGTGACAGTGTGGGAGGTGAGGGGTGACAATGTTGGAGGGATGAGGGTGACAATGTGGGGGATGAGGGTGACAGTGGGGGGATGAGGGTGACAGTGTGGGGGGGATGAGGGTGACAGTGGGGGGATGAGGGTGACAGTGTGGGGGGGATGAGGGTGACAGTGGGGGGATGAGGGTGACAGTGTGGGGGGGGTGGCGAAACCGACCTCGCCACGTGTCCTTGGAGGGGGCTGCTTGCCCGCCTCTTACCTTTGGACTATGGACCAGACTTTATGTAAATGTGTTAACCCAGATAGCTATGCCATGGAGCCCATTTGTGTAGTTAAAGACTTCGGCTCCATGGCAATTGAACTGTGTGAATAGGATCTGAGCGCTATTCGGTAGTTTTGTGCGCTCAGATCCCAGCTATCTGGGGATATGTGAAATGTCTGTGTCTTATGTGTAAAAGGTGCCTTTATGTGTTTTAAAGTGTTTTATGTCTTTTTGCAACCATGTGCTCAATGGAGTCTGCCTCTATCCCTGGATAATTGGATTACTTTACCCCATTGTCTCCAGGATAGAGGGATCTGTAAAACCTGTTTGAGCCAGATATCCATGTGCCAGCCAGGGCCCAAAAGATACTTTTACTAACTTTTGAACCCCTGGTCGGATTCATGCCATGTTTTAATATGTTGTTCCCCTGAATGGATTGATTGTGAATATGTAATTTTATGTGAATGTGATGTATGGTTTTAAAGTTATGAAAGTTGGGTAGAAAGTATGTTTTAACTGTATGTGTAATTGAGTTTCCTCTCAGGATAAGGGGAGGGAATATGTGGGATGCCACTGATATGTGATTGGTTGTTTTATACCTCCCTGTGGGCGGTCCTGTTTGTGAAATGCTGTAATAAAAACCAGGCTGGGTGTGCCAGCACAAGAGTTCCTGTTTAACCCTCAAAGTGAAGTGTCGTCTCATTATTGGGGGAAGGATTTATTGTATGCTGTTCCAGTTTGACTGCTAGGAGAGTAAACCTATTAGTATGGTTCCTATTCAACTGTCTACAGCATTCATATGCTTGGGAGAATTTATTTGTTTCTCCGGTTCGGTGATTGTGGTGTCTGCCAGAGTGCTTGGAGTCCTCAGGAAACGCTAGGAGCATCCTTTAACGGAGGTACCCAGTCGGGGTGCCAGGTGATCCGTTACAGGGGGGATGAGGGTGACAGTGGGGGGGATGAGGGTGACAGTGTGGGAGGGGATGAGGGTGACAGTGTGGGAGGGGATGAGGGTGACAGTGTCGGGGGATGGGGTGACGGTGTGGGAGGGATGAGGGGATGACAGTGGGGGGATGAGGGTGACAGTGTGGGAGGTGAGGGTGACAATGTGGGGGGGATGAGGGTTA